TATCTACGATATATCGCAGTGCTGTCCTCCTATATTCTCGAATCATCTAATAGTACGATGTCTCCCATTATCGAAACGCGTTGTTCACGCTTGGGAATCTTTTCCGTCGCCACAATTTGAGGATGACTCGATAGAAGTCCCACGGAACTCTCGCGGAATATGAACTCAATATGTATCTTCGTGCTCGAGTCGAAATTTTACTTCTACATTAATGGTGTAATTATCTTCGAATTGAAATTTTGATACACGGAGAAAATTTTATAGTAAAAATTACTAAAATTTTGTAAACGATAATTGACTATTCTTTCGTTTTATATTCACTATTTATATTTTAGGGACCGAAACGTGCCGTTAAAATATTTACTATGTCTCTAGCGAAATTTATTGTGTTCTTTAGTAAGATAAAATCTTTATCAATCTATTTCTGCATTACTAGAAACATACTAAAATTGAAAAAATTTAATGAAAAAATAATTAATTTTTTTATTTTTAATTCAATGAATTTATTTAATCAATTTAATTAAATAAAAAAAGAAATTATAATATTCTCGAATTAGAATAAGATGATGAAAACACAAGAAATGTTAGATCTTTAAAAGCTAAGCACATAATATTCTTTCCGTGTAGGACTTAAAGACAGAAAGAATGAAAACAAAGGAGATACAATTTGTGTCAACATATTTTAGACAATTAAGACCGAATCCTGATATTTGAGTGAATATTTGCTAAATACTGGGAGAATAATAATGTTTGACAAAAGAACGACTGCAGTTATGTGTCTCTAATAATGTACTGTAAAATAAAATTTAAATTTGGTTCAATAAAGTAATGAGAACAAGCAGAAATAAAAAGAAAACAAATTCTAAATTTCGTTTCAAGGGCGGGATTTCCTTCTTGTTAGCAAGTTCGTCAAAATCGTCCGTCCAAACTAGCAACATCCTGTGTAATAAATAATTTTACACACCTGGAAATGTATGATGTACCACTATATGTGTCTTAATGTCCTCCATTCTGGTTTCCCAATCTAGAATCTTGGTTCCTGGCGTAGCACTCCGAATACTTCTTCGTGATACTGACACTCGCATAAATACAGTTAGAAACACGTTTTAAATAATACGATATTGACGAGAGTTCGATTAAGTATTTTAAAAGATAACCAACAGAAGAGAACAACTAACGCACTGAGACATGTACTCCACAGTATGTGTGTCGCTCGCCAGCTCGGCACGTTATGAAAACACTTGGAATAGTGAGCGACATACGTAAGTAAATTCGACCGTTATGAAGGTCCGCAGTGTTTTGAAAGTGTCGATTGTTGTGTTGTCTCTCGGCCAGCAGCGAGCGACTGACGTTTTTTGTCTATTATTGGATACTCTTGTACGTTACACACTTTCTCAAGACCGAGCCATTACGTTTCGAATCGATGGGAAAGATAAAATCACCGCGACGTAAAGTACATATATCGGAATGTTATTTGTGATTCCCGGCGAGTGATTAAAATATTTAATTGAATTCTCGTCGATATTCCGATACGTGTTGCTCCGATCGTATCGTATCCACGCAAGTGTCAGTGTCCAGTGAATATCCGGAGAGCAGCCAGAATAGAAGACGCAGGACTCGAAATATAGATAGCAATACATCATATTCCAGGTGTGTAAAAACATTTATTATGCGGGATATGTTCCATTTTAATGCACGTTTGAGAAATTTACTGAGAGTAAGATAATACTCGAGTAGAATTTAGTAAGCACGTTTCGCAAGCGCAGTTGTGTGTCTCTAATAATACCCTTTAGGCCGCAAGGCTCATTTTCAACCTATTAACGTCTTTCAATTTTGTTTAACACGTTTACTATCACGGTTTATTTGAAACACTCTTTTCATAGACCTCCTCGTATTTTTTCTTTTTTATATATAATTGCGTAAAACATACTTGGTTTGTGACAATGTAGACACAGAAAAAAGTTTTTGCTGTCATACATGTGTGACATTAGTCTCTAGAGATTATTGCGTCACATATATATGATGTTAGTAGGGAACTTGTTATTGTTGTCGTATGTATTGAACACAAGTTCAAATTTTTACTGGTGCACAGTATAAGACACACAACTATTGTCTTGATAACTTTTTTCTTTTTACTTTCTTTAAATTTCCAACGATAATACAAAACAAGAATAAAAACAAATAAAAATGTACAGATAAAATATTGAGATAATCATAGATATTGAATAATTCCGAAAATCGATTTTCTAAAAGTGTTTATAGCACAGGATCTGGAGATATTCTAAAGATTCTAAAGGATTTCAGTAGATCCTTTCTGAAACCTCAAAATATAGAGAAATCAGTAGTAAATGAACATTTATATCATCAAAATAAAACAATAATGTACGTTGAGATTACCCACTGGCTTTAGTTCGACAGAATTTGTAAGATTAATGTACTCGTAGAAAATGCAATGACCAAAATTTTTACTCGACTATACAAATGACTTCCGAAATGGAAGAAGTACGATTTGTATATATTTTTTATGTCACTGCCCGTTTTTATCATTCGCACTTCTTTTTTGTCCGGTTCGCCATTGCCCTCTTTATTGCGTCCCACCTCACCTCATCGCGAGTACATTCTCCCTCTTATCTTTATTTTAGATCGCTTAGCTCATATGTCGCGTGTCACGTTATAATAGCTCATACGCTTATATGTTTATATGTTACGTACGTAATGTTAGCACACGTATTTCATATTGAATTAAGCCTAGCTGTGACACTCTTGCCTTTTGTGTGCAAATACTTAATTTGAACCTGACGCGGTTCTTCCTTTTTCTTGTTTTACTTATTGCATTCAATAAAATTATGATTATATCGTTGTCTTATTGCGCACTCGCTTATCAGGCACGTGCCTCGACACGATCTGTTTTCGTGTAATGTTCACGGCGCGCCTTTTCTCAGGAAACGTAAGTCGACATTCTAGCAATACCATATTTAATCAGCGACAAAGGAAATATATATGATCGCGTAACTGCGTACATAATATCAATTACTTTGTCCACGCAGTAGTCATGGTCTTGGTCAGCATTGAGTATTAATCGATAAAAATTTTCTTTGATTAAAATAATCGGCAAATTAATAATCAAGATGAATCAATATATAAAATCACATACAATTTTATTAATTAATGAAATTAATTATTAGTCAAACTTTCATGTGATTGATTATACATTAATTAACCTCTTCAGTGGTAATTTAAAATGACTGCAATTCTCTCCTCAAGTCTCTTTTCTTTTTAATAACTGTATCTAGATTTCTTTTCTTTTTATTGCTTTTTTCTTCGAAGCATAAAGTACAAAATATATTTAATTTATATTTGCTATGAATTAAAAAGAATACAATAATTTAGATAAATCATGAGAAATTTAGTATTTTATCAAATTTCCCGGACATACTATTCAGGGATTAATAATTTCATCAATCGATGAAAAATGTGTGATTATATATATGATGTGTGTGTGCGCGTGTATGTGTGATTGATTCACATTGATTATTAATTTGCCGATTATTTTAATCAAAGAACATTTTAATCGATTAATATCTAACGCTGGTCTCGGTATACACACCGCGAGTCAAGCGCGGCACCACCTAGGTGGTATATCAAAAGCACGAAGACAATGCGCGATAATTGAGTTTTAATTAAGTGCGCGTTTGGTGCGGACGTTTAGCACGAGTGATTCTGCACGTAATCGACGACGGTGGAATCGGCAATCGACGCATTTATCGGGAACGCGATGTTAATGAATAAGAATCGATTCGCACAATTTTCCGATTTTGGAAGATCTTCCGTAAGCCTGTACCGCGTCAGCGTCATCAAGGTCTTCGACCGCAGGATCGCTGTTATTACTTATCACAATAACGTCTCAACGCCTTCGCGGTAACCGGATTGCTAAGTGGTTTACATAAGTACGCGAGATATTCAGAAAATATGTATTTTCTTCGTTGCGCGCCGACCTCAGCACTTCCACCGACGGTATTCAGAAAATATTAAAACAGTGCACTTTGCGTATGTAGACAATAAAATCCATAAAATTGAACAGGCGCTAAAGCGTCTATCTTTATATTGCAGCTTGTGCAATGTTAGTAAAATTTGGCGCGAGCGCTTCTTCGTCGCACGTCCGTTTTATCCTTTTTCGACGCGTCCGTATGCACATACACGTCCGTACGTGTGTATGTAATGCATGTGTGGTGTGTAATGCAGGCTACGCGCGTGCTACCGCATCGCGGAGGCAATATCATTTTTCAGGCACGACGCTGCCGATCGATTATTTCCGATCCGAGTAATAATAATATGTGAACGTAATTGCCTCGTCGTTTAGATTAGCTATTAATTGCTTCCCCCGGTGTATTTCATATGATAGGTGTCATTTATAGCCGCACCGTTGCCGCGCGACCCGACAAGAGGAACAACTTGATATTGCCTCTGGCGCGATTGGGTCTTGCGCACCTCGGCCTCTGCCTCTTTAGTGTATACGCGCGGCGATTCAACCGAGCTTTACGAGTTACGTGGAAGTCCGATTACGTGGATCGGATATGATTTTTCGATTTCGCGAACTTTTTAATCGAGCGTTATCACGCGATCGGAAAAGCATCAATTGCGAAAGTAATTCTACTTTCGTTCGTACAAATGTTCATTTTTCTACGGAGTTTTTTTTCTGATCAAGTTTAGTTATTGCAAGAAATAGTTGCCAAAAATCATTCTAGGTTGACTCGTTGACTATTTGTCCCGGGGATATGTAACGAGGATAACATTGACAAGGAATTGTCATTTCATTGGAAAAGTTGAAAAGGAATGATGCTTGTATATTTTACTGCATCTTCGTTACATGCATATGCACGAGAACGTATTTTTTGTGCAATCATATATGTATACGAGAGATACGTAAACATCAAAGTGGCGTCATCTATCGGTCATTCTGTTGCACTAACGGAGGAATGCTGGACCAATGATAGGATGCAAAAGGATGAGCTAGGATGCATTAGAATGCATTCAGGGATTTAATTATCCCATCTTGGAAAATATTATTTTATAATTTTTATAACAAGACGGTGTATATATATTTATGAAATACGTTCGAGTACATTGAGAATTTAGCAACGAGGCAAAACTAGATTAAATTAGCTGTACTAAGGTTTAAGTGGAATATTGGGCCAAAATTGAGATTTTACTTTATCTTTATAATTGTCCAACGTAGCCTGTAGAGCAGTCTCCATTGCCAGGATTTTGGGACTTGCTTCACCATACAACTCATTCGCCTCTTCTTTCCTTGCACGAGCACTCACGGCACCACCAATGATGAGATTATCTTCTGTGCTTTCTTCTTCATGCGTGGCCTTACTAGATTTATATTTCTGCTTCATCTCCCTTCTATGTCTTTCGCTTTTCTCAAAAAAACTCAGCATCTCTTCAGTTACAGTAAATTCAAGCTCTTCAGCATCTTCATCGTGTACATTTTCCTTGATATCTTCTTTGGAATAATTTGTTTCAGTTGTCACATTAGAATGGTAAAACTGGTTAATGAGTGATTTTATTTTATTGCGTAGTATCTCATTTTCATATTCAAGAGCCATGCAGCGTGATCTCCACCAGGTTACATTGTGTCTGTAAGCAACGACAATAATAACGTATTTAGACAATGAACTGCACAAGAAAATTGTTTCTATTTCTCGATGTCCGTTAATCTTAATTATCTTTCTAATATGTTAATAAATATTTACTTGTACAAATCGATTCATTAAAAACGATTCATTAAAAACATTAAAAACGAGAGAAGCAAAATTGATGGCAAGGATCATAATAAAAAGAAGCGTAAAAAGAAATGTTTACTTGAGACTTACTTTGTTTGCCATTCTTGAGCCGCCGTGTAATTCTTCCAAAACGCGTCAGCTTGCATTGTACTTGTTTCTGATGTTTTTCGAGTATAGAATGTACTAGCATGCCCCGGAACACTCTTTTGACGTTTCGAGGACCTAACCTCAACTTCGACTCTAATCTGATCACGTAGTCGCTTTCGCCAATGTCGTTTTTTCTTCCACTTTCTGTTTCGTCTTGTGGGGACAAATTCCATACCTGTCAGGAAGCTATTTGTGCTTTGTTTGGATCAATTGTTCATCTAGCACAGAGTAGACGCCATAAGTGTTTGTGTTTCTCTCGTGCGAGTGTTGGTAAAGTCCGCCATGATGTCTGTTACGAACCGTCGGTAATATCAATGCTTATTGCCACTTTTAAAAATATCACTGTTTTTGAACGCCATGTTGAAAATATATCTAACCGTCTTTTATTATGATACTTTGCCCTTGATAAGAACGAATCGGTTCTATGCATTATTCTAGTGCGGGCAAAGGACATAAATCTACTAAAATATGCAGGTATAACGTAGGTGCCGAATATTGACTTGCTTCTTTTCGGTGGAAAGGAATATCCGGCTTCATGTTCCCGACGCGATACGATAGAACCCGATAGAAGTCGGTTCCGAGCATCTAACGATATCGCGTTTAATTGGCCTCACGCGGGCCAAATATCGCACCGAAATGATCGCCCGTATTTAATTCGGCACTCCCGATATTCGTTTATACGCGGGATTCACTTTCGACCGGCAAAAAGATGCGTCGAATACGGAGCGATACAATCGCGTTCGAACCTTCGCGAAACAACGCGAAATTGTCGCGGTTCGTACAGTGGCGTGACGTTATCCGTTTCACGAATTTTGAACGGCCGTTTACAAAGTTTCAACATCAAGTTCGGCAATCAAGTGATCAAGTGATTGCATGTTTTCAATGTCATCATTTATTTTAACATTTTGAGCATCAGCCATTTTTCAAGTATTTTGCATACGTTGAATCGCATAATTTCTAATAAATAAATTATCGTAATTTCGATGAATCTATTTCTACAACACGTGTATTGACTCGTTGAATGTTTCCTTTTTGCTACTTTACTTCGTTGAACATGTCTTATGTGTAAATTATTCTTCGGGAGTGCCGAAAATAAGTTTCGTGCGTTTTTTGTCTCGAGAAAACATCATTAAATGATTACCAAAAGTATCTTACAAAATTATAAGAATTATTTATTTTCATACAATACGACTTAACATTGAGTCAAGAGACCTTTTATTTACAATTAATACAACTTACGTATCAAATGAGTTTTTTATTCTTTAGTAAATAATTGAATAGCGAGTAAATTTTGCCTATATTTAAAGTAAAAGTATCAATGATACTAGACATGTATTTAACTTTGAATTTATTATTGTTTTGGCCTTTAAATACGAATATATTTAAATTTTTAACATACAGAGAGAAGGTGTATACACCTATTGAATATATACATGTACTCTGCATTGAAAGTTTATGGTCTACATACATCTTGCACTGGCTCTCCTGTGCTTGGCCTTCTTAAATATTCTTAAATATTCTTAAATATTCTTAAATATTGTTTTTAAATATTCGTATCTAAAGATCAAACAATAAGAATGTTTAGGATTAAAGACTCGTTCAGGTATTGGTACTTTTATCTTACCAATAAGGAATAAAAGCTCTTTTGACTTGACGATAAGTCATATTACTAAAAAATAAAGACTTGAGCAGAGCGAAATGCGGAACGACCAAACAGAAATGAGGAAACTGGTCAGCAAAAGTATATGAAAGATTAAATACGTGATCTTTATTAGAAATATACAGTGACGTGTCATGAGGCTTTATATAAATCTAAAAAAGAGGCTCTAACTTAATTGAGAATGACGCGTGTATAACACTTACTCGAAGTCCAGAGGTCTTGTTATGTCTTTGTTCCGTTTTTCGCATCTGAGAATCGCGCATTAAATGTCGTGACAAAGTTTCTTGTGTACACTGATATACCTCGTTTTTCGCATGTTCTATAATCTCTCCTTTTCTCTTCTTAAGTTATAAATATCTCAAAATTCAACACTACTATTAGTTACTTTGCGTACTAAATTCGCAAACACGAGGTAAAAGTCACGTTTACATAATTTACGCTTTAGAATTTCAGGCTCAACAGTCAATTACAACATTTAAAGAAGGAAAAAAAGTACTTCACTTACTATTTAAGTAAAAAAAGAAAAATTTTACCAATATAGTATACCTGTGTGTAGGAACGTGCTTTTTCTTCTTCTTTTTCTTCATGTGTACATATTTGTTACTCCACTTAAAATTGACATCTGATTCGATTTCATTGAAAGCCGCGTGGAAATTATTGTCACATCAACAATATTTCCAAAGTATAACACTTTCTTGGACAAACATTGCAACAGATATTTGATTCTCAAGTCGAGCAGACTTTAATCACTTCTTTTCTCTGTCAGTGAATCACTATAAAAGACCAGTCCTGACCTCACATATACGACAAATCTAATCCGCGCTCAAACGATACTTCATTTTCTCCCAACTTAACACTGCCACTCGTTGAACTATTTCTCCTTGACCCATTAGTAACTGTTGTAGCCTGAGAATTATTACCAGACGCCTCGCCACCGTTCATACTATTATTTGTTGATGCTTTATACAATGGCTTTAGTCCAATAATTACACGAACACTATCAGGGAGTTGATCTGCTACAGCCATAAGTTGATAATAAATACCTTCTGCTTTAGAGAGCGTCCAAGGCAGCTCAATGTGAAGTGACAAATCGTTTATATGCTGTGAACAATAGTATTACATGCTGTGTTAGATTTCGGTAAATAATTGTTATTTATTGTCACATAATTTAAAAAAAATGCCTTAATTTACCTTCAGAATTTCCGTAAATCCGTAATTGTTTTCTATTAAAATATTCTTCTCTGTGTCAAGAATAGCTGCACAGAAGAGCAAATGAAAGTTTTTGCAAGGTAGATCCGTCCACAATATCTCCCATAATTTCATTATATCAATCGAGTTAAATTCTCTTTTGAAAAGTACTAACAACCATCGGAAGCAAAAGAACATATTGCCAGAGTCATGTCTATTTAGATAATAAGCCAATTGTGGTTCTGTGGTGCACAGTAAGGTGTGCAATTGGCACAATTGTGCTTTCATGCCGGCTTGATCTATGTCGAAGTTAGAGCTCTGTTTTAAAATAATAAAAGTCACATAGTTTCAAGTATTGATGTCATGTAATTATGCAAAAAGAAACATTAGACTTACCAATTTATCCATAAATCCAACAAAACACCAAAATGCATCGACCTCACTATCCATTAGAAACAAAATAGGACTAAGAAGGTCGCTCATACCCTGAACGTAACCTAAATCGAAATTGTACATTACATAAGTCATGAGTATATGAGTTAGTTGTTCCAGATGAGGATTATTATCTCCAGCATAATAAGGGTGTGTTCTGTCTGTCCTGTTAACATCTTTTTCTGAAACAAGAAATAAAAAAGAAACTTATATTCGATTCAGAACATAAACTTAAAAAATAGCAATTTAAGTACTTTATTTATTACCTATCAAACTTTTTCGTTCTTTATAATCAGAAAACCGGTTTTCCTGTTCCGGTGTAAATGAACGCCATTGCAATTTCATCCTAAAGTACTCGTCAGTCTTTTCATTTTGTAGATATGCTCTTTCTTTATTTGTTGAATTCCATGGGTAATAATTCAATAAGTATTTCCACACTTCAAAACGTAATGATGGAGAGATACCCTAGTGGATTGATAATAACACGTATTGTAAAAATGTGTTCTACATTGCTAAAAATACTAACACAAATATATTTAAATGCATACCCCACGAAAGATGATTTCTTTGACAGCCTCTGGATTAGTAATTCTTCCCTCTGAATCTTTGGACTTTTCCCATTGTTCTGATGTCAATGGTGCACCTAATAACAATCATAAATCTCATATTTTCAAGAAAACTTGCACACAGGCTTTTATTGATTCTTCTTTTCTGGTTAATCTGTATTTTATAAGAGAGCTCTATTATTTCTAAATTGATACATTACCACGTGGACATGGTGGTCGTGGAGGTAAATCTGCTCCAACACCAATCACTTCGTACTCGTCTCCAGATCCAACAGATACAGATATAGGTGGTTGAGGATCGATCGTAAGGGAACGATTTAACAAGTCGGCGACTGCTTCCTCAACAGGTCGTTTCACTGGTTCCTTGTATACTATGGTGTTATATCTATTATATATCTTATACCTATACACAGGTGCTTGCTATGATGATTTGAGATACATCAATCCTAAATTATAAATCCACTTACACCAGATATCTGCGAGTTTGCTGAATGCCTCCATTGTTGTCTCATATGGACGATTATGTAAATTTTTTACAAATTTCCACACATAATCAGAGGTGTTTTCTTGAAATAGATCCAATTCAGCGAAGGATTTATTTAACACCGATTCAACTTGGTCCATAACAAGATACAAGTTCCTGTCCATGCGTGATTTGACGAATTTGATGAATCCTTTGAGCGAGTTGATAAAACTTTCAGCATTAGATAGCTGAAAGAAGGCAACGTAGGTGGTACCATCCCTCTGCATAAGGATGAGTTGTTGTCCACTATGATTCACACGAAACGACTTAAGATCGGAGAATAATATTCTAACATTTCTTGTACGTCCTAAAGAATCTGCACCCTCTGAGGATGTACGAGTCCTTCTAGTGTGTGTGTCCACTAATGACCATTCTGGATCTTGATCTTGATACTCTGACACTACAGAATCTTCAACAGGCTTCCATTCTATACATTTACCAAAACTCTATAATAACAAAATAGAGGAATTTATAATATTCACAAACAACATTAATACAATGCTAAAATAACACAAATCTTACATATTCCACAATGTTGAGTGTGCCTGAGCTATGGACATCTTCTCTGGTGTTCGCTCCACGAAGCACAACAGCAGTATGAATACAGAGATCCTGTTCATAAAATGATTAAATAATTAGATCTATTAAGGAACTATTAATACATGTGTAATAATCGCATCATTGGCATTATCAATACACTGCAAGTATTAACTTGTGCAACAATGAAATATGACAGATCAGTCAATATCAGGTACCTGCTATTGTACTGTTTATAAACAGATTGCAAAATGTCATAAATAAATTATATTGATACGTCGTGCAAAAATCGCCTATTCACAATCTTTATGATCGCGTAAATTAAACGAGTCGTCCGAAATTCAGTCACAAGTCGTAAAAGTCGAATGAAACTTAACCTCTAATTCGTCAAAGAAAACACAGGAGACCACGTACTTTGATCGAATTGCAGCAGGTGCTACATTTACACAATTAATAGAAACATTATTCCCACGTTGTCGCGAATGTTTACTGAGCATTGAATTTTCATTGACATGCAATGAGTACATGTGGGCGGGTGCATTTGGGGAACGTCATCTCGTACAAACGTGAGCGTGATCATACTCGATCGCATCGGCCAGTCATCCTACAGGACCTCGCCCGATAACCATATGAAAAAGGGTATGCTCACCTTCCCTTGCTCGGCCGGTTCAGACATATCGTATTTATATGAATTAATCTCCGCTACTGCCGTTGAAGTCAAGTGTTCTACGTCAAGTTCATCACAACTCTCCCACATCGCGACTTCCTATCTCCGTCCCTATCTCACGTTCTTTCTTTTACGCACTCACCACGGAGATTCCCTGTCTCGCTTGCACACCACAAGATCGCAACTGCGCGCTTTAGTCGTGGCGTGTGTCGCCTCGCTGCAAGCCACGCGTTGCTCCAAATTAAAGTGGCAAGTATACGGGGTGCATGTAAAGAGAGCAACAGAGACAGAGACAGAGGGAGAGAGGGAGAGGGAGAGAGAAAGGAAAGGAAGTAGGAGGTACAAAAGATGCTAAACTTTAATTATTTACGTTCTAAGATTCTTGATCAACTTGGTAAATATACTCCACGTTTCAAATAAAAAAGAAATAACCGTATTCTTATATCTAATAATTAAATAGAAAATTTCAAATGCTACTTTTGCTATACACTTTCACCTGGAATTTATGCTCGTTAGGAAACGATTAGATTATGCCTGTAGAATGAGACTACATCATATTTTTCCTAATGTATGTACTGATAAATTTGACAGTATCGATAAAGTTGAAAAGTGTAGATTTTTTTTCTATATAATATTGGTTCTTTTGTTTATGGAAGAAACTTGATAGAGAGAATAATGAAAATATTCTTCAAACTTAATATAACAACATTGTATATCAGGAAGAGATCATATTTGTTTTTCATCGATCCAGTAGCACAATGTATACTAAGCACTTACCGAACTAATTGACAAAGGCTTTCTTCTCGAAAAAAGATGCTTTTCTTTCTCGTAGTAAAATCATTCAAAGGCTGCCTAGCTTAGACATGTAGACTCGTCGGCAGTTTTGAAATAAATATGATCACACGTTTGCGATGCAGCGATACGTGTGCAGGATGTTACACCGGCTGCCTAAATAGACGGGCTAAAACTCAGGCGCAGCGCATCTGCATTATTGAGCGCACTAAAGTGCATGCTCCGATATGACAGGGGATAAATTTCGTCACGTTTTCACGAGTATCTTCTTTAATTTACGCAACTAAACAATAATGTTCAATTAATTTCAGAACAGAAATATGTAATAGTATACGTCTGCGTATGTGTGGGCGATCAAATTTAATTTAAAAATCATTTCACGCTCATGCGCACAAGAATCATCATCCGAGCGCCTGCATCACTGCAACCCGCTGCATAGTGCGTGCGATGTGAGACTACGGAGATTGTGTAAATAAAGAGCTATTGCTATCTTACGATAGGAATAACAAACTCTGATCTCTCGAGTCGCGCGCTGTTGTACTCGCTTCATTTGATTTCAAATCCTTTATTTGTGCGAACAAGATTGCACTCGATTTTCCAGCATAGTAAAACCAGTGTAGAAAGACGATGTACGAATGTATGCAAATGTATGCAAACGCGCAGAAAAATACATACTGCATTCAAGTAAATATATTACTAAAATATTTTATAAGTTTATATACCCGTAGATCTATCATAAATTCATCATAAGTATATATATATATATATATATATATATATATATATATATATATATATATATATAATTTATTCAAAATAATCAATTTTAATCTTAATAAATTTAACACCTCAATTAAGAATATTAAATTAAAAAAGAGTTTAGTTTTCTTATTACATATAAAGTCGAACAAACTTTTTTTTCGATAAAGTTTTACAATATTCTTATGAAGATAAATTATTCTTTTGAGTATGATAATGAATTTTTCTAAAATTTTTAATGAATATATATCAAGACAATTATTAAGAAAATATTCCTTATTAAAGAAAATTCCTTATTAAAGAAAGAAAGTAAACCGAGTGTAATCACTTTTCTTAGCAGGAGCATGATATTTTTCTGTATGTATAGCGAAACGTAGCGGATATGCAACTAAATAAAATAAAATGCGCAGACGTCTACAAGTAAAATACGCGTTGAGTAATTATTTGTTTTACTTTTTTATATTTTCTCCCTGTGGCTTATTTTGCTCGATAATATATGACATATTTTATTTCTTCAATATCAATTTTCAAAAAGCGCGACTCTTTGTATCTTTGAACGAAAAAAACACAATGATAGGACGAGTGATTAACTCATAACGAGTGATTATCAAAGGAAGCCACGTCATGTTACTACGGGACATGCGCACGTCTTGTGTTTCATACGATACGCGTTTCAAGGGAAAACTATTGTTTGTATCTCGAAAACGTTTTTTTGCGTCGCGTAGTAAAGTTTTTTATTACTTCTTATACTTTAATAACGAGCAATGGAATATTATTAACATTTAAAAATGCTGTTTACTTCCTTGCCCGATAAAGTTCCATCGCGTGTATTAAAGAATCTACGTGTCGTGTAACGGTGATGGATAAACATATGCTGCAACTGCACTTTTTGATCTGCAATCAAACTTCGATGAAAAAACATCGTGATTAAAAACTAGTTTCCTCGTCGAGGTTGCCCAGTGCGCGAGTATCCTCCTTTCAGGAATCGAGTACACCTGCACCGAACGGCTGCTGATCTACCGCACGTTACATTGCCCGCGTACAACTGTCATCTGATAATATTAATCACGCAGATAACAGCATATGCAAGTGAGAGACGAGAATCGATGAATAGTCATATGTATTACTGATACTCTTCAAAGAGCACCATTGTTTTCGCGCAACTACGCAGTAATATTCCTTCGCTGCCCAAATCAATACATATATAATCAGACCAGCGGAATTATTTAAAAATTCAGCCTATTTACGAAGCAAGCACGAAACTTTTATAATATCGCGTAGAATTATATTACAGATGATTCATCGTTCTTTCTTTGCGCGGGTAATGGATCACTTGTCCATATTTCCCTCCGTTAAAACAAGGGCGGCTCCCCGTCCCGAGTCTGTTTACATAATTGTCAACATCGTGATGCAAAGTAGATCAGCGGTAACAATCTACAACTGAAACGCGCGAGGGAAATGCGCGAGGGAACGCTGTGCTGAGGCCGTATCAGCCCTTTGTTTGACTGCAGGAGGAATAGAACGCACACTTTCCCTCCACGGTCCAAGTGTTACGCCGAGTGCAGTTGCACCAAGTACGGTTGCACCGAGCGCGTACGATGCACCGCGTGCGACCGCGTGGCCTTGCCGGAGAGTACGGCGGATCATGGGTCGACTGTGTGGTCAGGTATTTTAGATTGGACCCCAGGTAGCGGTAATGTGACAGAGAAAGACTTTGAAACCTCGAAAGGATCAACAGAGAGTTCACATTGTAATATAAAAACTATCGTGACGTAATATAAGAATGAGGCGATTTGAATACTTTAATGTAATCAAGAACTCTGAAAGCAAAGTCATGTCTAAATAAAATATATATTATTATTATTATATGATTATATTATATGAATTATATTATATGAATTCTCTTTGTACACATGTGATCTCTTATATACATATTTTTTATATACGTATGACCCCTTTTTCTCTTTCTTTCTCTTTTTTGATATTTATTTTTTTAGCACTCGATTCTTCAATCATATCATTTGTGTGCAGAAATGAAAAGCAAAGGGTAAAAGAAGGGGTGAGAAATCAATGATGCAACTCGGAATATCTCCTCGTGACATTGATCGGAAGTCAAGCGTCATAACAGCATCTCCAAGCGCGATTTGCATTTTAGGAGATATAATTAATAATTTACAACAGCTCGACGGTGTTTCAGAGTCGCGTATTCGCTTCAACCTTCGGCAGTTAGTCGCCAATATCACGGACGATTACAGTGTTGTAAAGAACCTATTTTCATGGAAAACAACCATTTTATAAAACGTAATATAGAAAGTTTTCTTTCTACAAACCAAGTACAAAAGTACAGTGCAAAAGTATAGTGTTTGAAATATGATAAAACGCATAAATAATACAAATTTTTTATCAAATGTCGTCCTGACAGATTCAGAAATCGAATCAAAAGAACTGTCGTGTGAGTAAAATCGTACCTATATTAAAGACTCATATTCTCACGGTAAACTAGTATTAGAGAGTTGAATTCATAGTTTAAAAATACCTGCATTAGTCTTTAAATATATTAGTATCGGTTCTCATATATCTTGATACTTTTCATAGACGCGTATATATATTTACTTCTATTATAAATTATTATTACTTTTTTCGCAATTAATATACTTCTTTCTCCCCACTATCTTAATTTTTCCAAATCAATTCTGAGTCACTGTTCCAGTGACTATAAAGAAAACACTATTTCCCGTATATAATTTATGTGTATAACATTTTAGATCGATATCATGAATATATTTCAAATATTGATTTTTGTCTATAAGAACGGACACTGCTCAACTGTGCTGCGTCTCGAAGACAAGTTAGATCACTTGTTTTTTGCAAATTGCATGATCCGCGGTTTACTTGAAATGGACGATTCGCGTGACCGAGTCGAAGGCTATGAGAGAAGGAAGGCGGAAGGAGAAAATAAACGCGCCCGTGTGCGTTTGCAAATGTACCGTGCTACGGTACGACGGGAGAGAAACATAGCGACCTACGTCTCTTCTCTAGACGTTCATAAACTTCACATTCCTCGGCAGCGAGAGGGCGAATACGAGCGGGCAGTGGCTCGTAATTCGAAGTCGAACGAAGGAAGAAGGATGGCGGGAATTTAAATAGACACTGTGGCTGCAGAAGGCGCGGGGCAGACCGGGGAAAAGTGATTGCAGCTGTGCGTTTCTTAACCACGAAGGCATTGCTATTTTGCGCTGCAAATTGAAACGTTGTCTGAGGAAGTAAGATATTCGTTTGATTGAGGAATAATTACGGGGGACATCGCCAGGGAATGCGTCATTTTCTCAGCCGATCACAGCGAGTAAAAATGACCCCGCAGAGATTTGCATTCCAAGTGCACGCGCACTCGGTACGGCCTCTGGACACTCGTGATAAGCATTGGCAAGAAAATGAGCGTGACTCAACTGTTTCATTGTATCGTTTCATAAGGCTAGTCCTAAATTATATATTACACATTTCATGATTCCTGCTCCACGTGACGTACCCCAGATTGAAGAAATTAACGAAACGCATGAGACGAGGGCAATTTATGCAGGCGTACGCGGCAAGCTTTCTTCCTTTGATTAATGCCACTTATCGGGTTTGCCAACAATTGCGTACAATTAACTGTACTGAGAAACACGAAAAGAAAGAAATGGGCACAAGTAGGAATTAACGGACGAGCGATTATCGCGGTTCTCCTAATTTCGGTGTACTTGACGTATTACAACTGCAGTTTGCTCTTATTGAAACAATTTCGCCGCTACTAACACCAGACCAAACTTTAGGGCGTGTTGCAATTCTGTGGCATCTTGTGAATTAACTTCGCTAAACATCCACACCGTCTAATGGCACTTGCCATCAAGATGAAGATTTCCAAAATACGAAGTGTCCTGGTGCGAGCTGCTAATTTTTCAGTAAAAGTATCCGTGTGTCTAAGGCTTGTATTAATAGTTATTACTTGAAATTTGTCTCGAGTATGTGAGATACTTCGATTTTAATTAATAAGGCCTGTATCAATAGTCATTACTTAAAACTTATTTCAAATGAGATTTTCAGATTTGAATTTAGAGCTTTTCAATGACTGAATTTAGAATTTTTGAATCGCGATTACAAATATAACGTCGCATATATTGCATGTACAACTGAAAAACTTAGATTTAATCTTGAATTCAAATTTGAATATTTGACGCGAAACAAGTTTTAAGTGACGGTTGTTAATACAAGTCTAAGTTTGTATTAATTATTTGGAACTTTCAAGTATCTCAAGAGAGTCTCAAGATTTACATTCAGAGTTATGAGAGTTAAATGAGAGGTTTTCAATTGAATCGCACTATAAATATTAATGTCACATTTATCATAAATCAACTGAAGACAAGTTTCAAGTTTCAAGTGACAACTGTTAATACTAAGAAGTTAGATTTGAATTGTTTAGCTATAAATATAATGTCGGCTATAATATCATGGATATTATATGATTTAACTAAAAAAAAAACTCAAAACTAACTCTAAATTTCTGAGTATCTCGCGCGAGACGACTTTCAAATAAAAACCATTAATACGGACTTAAGTTGCGAGCAATTTGCAAACATACATTCGCGAGTATCGAGATGATATATTAAAATAATTCAATCATTCGTATTCATAAATTGAATTCCATAGAATTGTAAAGTTTCACGTGTGCCGACGAATTCGGGTTGATGTTTTCTCTTTTGAGAGCCTATTACGAAACTCACTCCTATTCACACGTGCGCGCGTTGAGATCCGCGCAGTTTACGTTACATATATCGCACAGACAATGTAATATACGGACGAAAATTTTGGTTCATGACTTCTAAGAATAAATGATCGTGAGCCAATGGTTCAATTACGCAAAGTTGAACGTGTGTGCATCTGTAATTACTGCTTCTGTACGCCCACATGAATGCGTCAGCCGTAGTTTCCACGTTGAACGCGTTTGGTATAATCACACGTATCGATATCTCTCGATATAACGAGCGATCCGTGTCGCCGCGTCACGATTTACAGACTCGCAGACAAAGGCTTAGACGCAACGAACGTTGCGACAGAATGAGGTCATTAGTCATGAAATCAGCGCTTCTCAGTGTAAAAAGCGAACGCGCGCTATCCAGCGTACGTGAACAACTGACAACGGCGTTTCCGGCGGAGAGAAGCTGTGGCGGAAGCGTGTGCCGGATGACTGTATGGAAAGGATCGCGAAGCGAACTTCGATCTTCCCTTCGTAATCGGCTATGGCTTCTTAACTTGCGACACTGGAGAGAAACGAGGAATTTATTTTGCGCCTCGGAGCTACGGAAGCGTGGCGTTGCTGGCGTTCCCGCGTAGTGCTCGTGTAGAGATTCAATAGAACACATAAATACAGATGGCCCATGACTACCGGACACAAATAATTCCGGCAGCGTAACTAGAAAGGAATGCAGTTGCCGCTCGCGAAGAAATTAGTTTTTATCTCAGCCCGTAGCGTTCGTAGCTTGACCATCTAAAATGAAAAATTGAATAAAAATGAACGTCACTTTAGAACTGTTCTCTGGACGGTCTGATAAAATGATATCTCACTGACAACTGATTGCTAATGATATGTCACAGATATATATCATAAATAATGTGTGTTTTGAGTAAGTTGTTCAAGATTTTTCGTAATTTTCCTGGCTTTAATCAAAATATTCGACGGTGCAGGGCTTATTATCGCTGTCATCATTATATCAAATATGTCCATGTGAATAGTTGTTACTTGAAATTAGTCTCACGTGAAGTATTCAGATTTGAATTTAGGTTTGGGTTTTTTTATTTTAATCATATAATATATACGTGACATTACGATTCAGATGAAAAACTTGCATCTAACTCTAAATTCAAATCTGAGTACCTTGAGGTAAGTTTAAAGTATTAAAGTTTAAAGTATTAAACGACTATGAATACAGATCTAAGACGCTTCTCTCATTTCGCATGCAGTTGGATTACCGAATGTTTAAACATGGATTTAGAACGCACATCGTCGTAACCTAGGAATATTCTCCTCTGCTACTTCGGTATACACGTACGTCTGTCGTCAGGTATACCTGACACTGTTTAACGCGCGTCCAAGTACGCTAGCTCTCGTGCAAGATAACTATATTAGCTTACTGGAGGTTCTCTCGAGTTGATACTCACGATCTCCATGAATAAAACAAAATTGTCAGACGATTTACGAGAATTCTCTTAACAAGTAGAAGATTAGGTTCAAACCACGACGTTTTCTATCTACGATATACATGCATTTCATTTCTTCCCACAGTATTATTAATTAAATACGAGATTGCGGCGAAAAGTAACGCAAACAATTTGCTCAATTGTGTGGATAAGCAACGTATCATACCTGCCATGCCATATCCGAGTTCTTAGGATAGAATTAAAACAAAATAAATCGTTATTTTGGATCATGTGTATATCTATCTATTATGTCTATATGTGTATATCTATCTTGATTGTCTTGGACCTTTGTCACGGGGACGAAGGGGACGCGATAAGCTACAAACGATACGAGCCGTTTTTTAGAGATTATTCTCGAATTTATCACCTCGTTAACATTCTTTGTTTTCCGCTCCACGTAGAACAGCACCCGATCAGGAAAGTGGGAAGTCATTAGCGACAATTTCTTTCTCGAGAATTGCCAATTCGGGCAGCGCGCGTTTCATTGTCTCTGGTTGACTGGCGCTAGTACGTCATATTGATGCGAAGGTTACACGATGCGAAGCGAGGGACACAGTATTCTTAACCGCACAGGTGCAAAGTTCGCTGTGCAGGCGTACCTAAAATAGTAGAGTGTATTGTCGTTCCGAGGAACGACGTCGCATGGAGAAATCAAACATGGGCGCGAGTGCACGAGAGTTCAACACTGAAAGAAAGAAACGTTGATCTAATTGAAACTATAGTTACTTTTGGCCACAACCACAATTTTTGGTTGTTCTAATACGAGAATGATAGTATTAATATGCATATAAAGTTATTATCATTAACATTATAGCAGGATTTAATGAAAAAATAAATTTAATAATAAAAATAAAAAATCTCTGACTATAATTTATAGTAATTATTTTTCTACGTGATTATAGTCACAAACATTTTTTTCCAGTGAAGGAATAACAGGAATCAAATTCTTGTCGGAATAATAAGCATCGAGAGAATAAGCCGTTTAGATTTATTCCTCAAGTCGGCACGATTCACTTTTTACTCCTTGGAATCGGTGACTTGCAAATTGAGTGTTTACTGTTGTTTTATGTTGATATCTGTCGCTGGTAGGAGTACAAAAAATTCCTAAGTTTTCCCGTATTTCTTTTCGCCCACGACGGGTTCTTCGATCAATATTTAAAAAATGCAAATTTTTTCATAAAATTGTCGAGAGTCACCGACGCAATTTCTGAATTAAACGTAGAAAAATATATACGCAAATTTATCATAAGTTCATAAGCGTCAAATTTACTCGAAATATATTGTACATTTTGATAAGTTCAGCATTTAAATTAAGAACATTAAATTAAAATAAAATTTCGGTTTTGCTTACTACGAGGAGTTAAACGAACATTTTTGGATAAAATTTTATGATATTTTTATGGAGAGAATTAATTTTTTTTTTTTGAGTACATAATAGTTTAGATAGTAGCTTTGCTCCAATTTTTTAATGAGTACATTTTTAGATTATTATAAAAAAATATATATATTCTTCGCTGAACATAACCGTTACTTAAGAGAAAAAAACAAATTGAGTAATTGTTTTTCGTCGCAGAAGAATCATATTTTATCATTTTATATCATATTTTATCAGAAGAATATTTTTTCTGTGCGCGCGTGCGAGAGGCAGTGAATATCGCTTTAAGAATTCGATCGGACGAAAGGAAGCGCGCGATGATCCTAACAGATCCTACGCGTGCGTGTGAATCTTCTCAGAATGCATTTCCCTCGTCGCGAACGGGTTGATTAATTGCTTGTGACACTCTTCGGACGTTTACCGGCTTAACGCGAGCGCTAACAAAGACGCCACAATTATTATTAACGAATTACGTGTTCCAACATCGTGCAATAAACAATGTAATGTATCAGAACGTATGCAGCGGCAGGACGACACTTACGTCAGAGCCGAACCCGGACTTCGATCCTCATTCATGAGTGCAGGTGTCCGCCGTGGATTCTCTCTCGCTCTCCAGCTCTCTCGTGAACGAATCGAGCGTGTCGGCTCGTTGTGCTCATGCCAGGCGAGAAACCTTCGGCTCCAGTCTCTCGGTGCGAGCGTACTCGCGTCGGTGCGGGTGTACCCGACGTGTACCAGCGAGTTCGGTGCTAGAGTATCGACCCGCGGCATGTGGTGGCTCATTCTCCTTTCTCCTTCGTTCCTTCCTTTCCCCCGTGCTCGGAAGGAATTATAGTTCCCTCTCCTATTTTCTATCGCCGTTGCGCTCGGCCTGCTCTTCTCGCTCCATGCTCTCTCCTAAAGTAAGGTCCACAGGGCGACCGTAAGGTCGATACTCGCGCGAACGGCCACAGAAATCCCACCCTCACGACGCCGTCGCGCTTTGTTGTTCATGCGCGGCCGTCAACGATGTACAATGAGAAAAACGCGCCCCGCACAGTATCCTCGGGGTGACGGGAAATTCATTTTTCTTACGTGGCGCGCGCCAAATGATGATCGGACAACGGGAACTTGTGTTCTTCTTTTCATTTGAACGGATGCAACGACAAATGTAACACCTACCAATCTTCTTTCGCGACGTGATCGTCATAAGTGACGTTCTGCATGGTCCTACGTAACAGTCGTGTTAACCAATTATTTATATTTCGCGTAATAAGCTCGCGTACACGAGTGTCGTTCTGTTTTCTCGCAGCCAGGGGAAGTAATTACCTGCGCGCGCGCGCGCGCGCGAGAGAGAGAGAGAAGAAGAAGAAAATGATATCCCGCGAATCAAGTCCACGTGTGTCATTATCTTAAATCACCGTCGTTACTAGAAAATGCGCTGCAGGAATTTTATAGTCACGGTTTTTCTTTCTTCTCGTGAGTAATGGAGTAGTCTCACAGAGGCAAAAAGACGATGACGTGTTCTTAGTTGTATCGTTATGTATCGAAACCACCGTCCGATATTTGAAATTTACGTTTGGTCTTGCCCGCGCAAGAAAAATTGAAATCCTCAAAGAAAAGGCGAGAGTCATTTCTTAAAATATATATAGATATTTAATCTAACAATTGAATTCGACAGTATGCGATCAATCCGATAGCTAAATTAGTTGCATGTATTTTTATTATCTGAAATACAATATTTACCGCGCGAGTGTGCGTTAATAGCAACGAGGATGGGAACTTGACGTACTGCAATAATAATAAATAAGACACAGAATACAAAACCAGAGCAAATTTAACGTTCGTAAAAACCAAACGAGCAACTGTAAGCGAGAAGCACGAGAGATAATTGAAATTATTTGCTTCTCAATAATAATTAATAATGCATGAGATTCTAATAACTTGCTCTTGAACTTTGCGGAAGTATCAACGAGAAACCGTCTTATTACAAAAACTGTTATAAAAATAAAAAACAAAAAAGAGGAAAGGACTGAGAAGTGCGAAATCGAATTGTGCAAGTGGCATTTCGCACTTCTGCGCAACTTTGCATTGCGCGAACGTTTCGAAATTTTCTTATGCATTTTCCTTACGTAAGATTTCCCAGACGTATTTCTCAGACTGAAAAGACATTTTCGGCGGAGCTGAGGTCGGGGACGATAATGAATTTCTCTGTTCCCACTCAGTAAGAGTGTTCGAAGATATGAATATCGAGAACGTGAGCGAGTCAGCTGGGCGCTGGATCACCGTCAGCTCCGTCCCTGGACTCTGTCGCTCTCGAGCTCGGCTTATTTCGTCGGTGGCAAGGAGTGGAGGTGCATAGCTCGACAGCTGATCGCGGTCGGTGGTGCGTCGTGCGCGATCGACGCTCTCTCTCTCGTCAGTCGCAGTACACGTCGCGGTTCCGTTCGGTGCGTACGCGATACCAGGTCCCAGAATCACCTGGTGCGTGCACGCGTCCGTGATCGACCGCCCCCGACGAGGCAAGTCGATACCCGAGGTGGAATCGCGACTTACCGTGGCTTACTCTCTCGATTCAGTGCGAACGCAACTACCAGTGTGATCTGTGATACCGCCCCGCGTCAACCAGGGACCTTTAATTCGGAGCATCGTCGTGGAGCTTGACAGGTCCGAGTGCTTGACAGATCGAAGATGCAGAACGTCATCGTCGTGGTATGAATTGGGACGTCGCGGCAGCAGCTGAGCCCACTTTCGTCCGAGGGTGAGTTGTTATCCAGTTAGCATGCACGACCGTTCGCGTAGGAAGGACGTGTAGGTTGAATCGTCGTTGATATCGTTAGCTACCCCTACGCGACCCCTTGTAGCTATGCGTCATGGACGCCGTGACGGAAGCCTACCCTCCGCGCATCTGCCGTTTGCATTACGCAGTAATTAATTACGGGATAAGACCAAGTCGATTTATGCACGCACGAGCAGCGAGAGAAAGTCTCGTTTGTTCGTTAATGAATGAATCAGTACTTCTTAATTGGATCCATTTCCCATGAAGGGGGTCGAGTTTGGTGCACGCGTCGCTCGATCCAAAATTCAGCTTCACGTGTGTGTAATGATGCACTGATCAGACAGCGCGGAACACACTTTGCCCGGTCATCGACATATCACTCCCTTGCTTCTATCGGCGAATAGGCGTTCTCACTCGTTCCGAAACACATCGGAACGCTCTCTACAACGCGACTCCCCGTGTCCCCTGGTTGCGCGATACTTTGACAATTTTGTGAATGGACGAAGATCTATGTTTCATAACTGCGACTTGTATGAATTACTATCGGGATCGAGTTGATATATCGTGCAACTGCACTGTTTGCCACGCTATTGTTGCTACATAGTTCGATATTTCGCAATTACTTGGTCGGTTCGGCTGGACGTCTTTTATTTCCGCGATGCGCCACGGAAGAACTTCGACGATACTCTCCCATGACCTGTTCCTTAATCATTTTCTAAAACTCGCGATTCTCAATTTTTGCTCAAGTTTACATGAATTTTGAAACGGCTACTTTACGATTATTTTAAGTGACGTTTATAATGTCGTTAAACGACGATTTATTTCGGAACGTCGAATGTCTGTTCACTTGAAAACAAAGCTCATCGAACAGATGTTACTGTCGCATAGGATTAAACAAGAGGCCCTTCCTAGTCCCGTCTTCCTCGCCATGAGCGCGAGTTTCAATGGCCTTAGAAATGGACTCGAGATCGCGATGCGTGCTGCTTAATAGACGCCTTGACCAAGCAACCTGACGAGTATGTTGCGATAACAGCTATTGCGTCGAGCACGTGTGTCGCGTGTATACGCGACATTGCACTCGATGAGAAGAATTCGCGTATATTTGTCGAATGATAGTTCCGTTCGCTCGGAAAATCATTGTCTGTGCTGTCCGTTAGTGCCACACAATGCTCGACGCATCCTATTTTCAAACCGAAGAACTCGCGTGTTAATCCCCAATAAAAACTACGCGTCCGCCTAATTAAACTCTATTAAACGTTCACGACATGATAATTTTTATTGTACGTCTCCGGGATCGATTGTGGATGATAATTCCGGCGTTGTGTTTCTCCCAACTCAACGGAGAACGGACCGGCTATTTTAAGATATTTTAGGACACGTGTGGATCTTTTTGCGGACATGGCTGCGATTAGCGGCGACTGTGCCTAGTAAACTTTTAATCACGTTCCATCCGACCCACGTGAGGTGGGAGCTGTCGACATGGGACCGATTAGATACCATCGAGAGGTCACCAACATCCAACAACGATCTCAATGATAGGAGAATTAAATGGAAAGGCTCGAACTCTAGGAAATAGACAACATGGCTAGATCATATTGATCTCACATCGTTATTAAAGTCACATCTTTCGAGAGAAATTGCTGCCGTAATCGAAAAAATCCGCTAAATTTCGTCCATCAAGACAAGTCTCGCAAAGGGAGCAGCGCGTACACGTGTACTAAGTATCCGGAAAAAGGAGACGGTGGCATTCCACACACGAGATATCGACATGAGTGTCTACGGCTTCGTAACTTTTTCTCTCCAGTATAAAGTAACCTTTTCTATAAAAAATTTTGGATGTAAGGAGTGGATCGTGGATAGGAACCGATGAATCAGTTCAACCGAACTGAACCTTTCAGGTGAACAGAACCGCTACCTGAAAAAGAACCTGACGGGAAAAACGTGTAACATGCATGATATATCCGGGTCCGCGAGGGAATTCCATGGCATGTGATTCACCGATTCTTAGCATCTCATCACAAGATAAAGCAGCTGAACTGTATTATTTACTATGTAAGCGAGAAGACGCACGTTCCTCAACGATTAAACAGGGATCTCACCATTAAATATAAACGTACTGTACACACAAAAAAATACATACTGCACTCAAGTAAATGTTATTTGTTTCAAGTATTTCGTAAGTTTATATGTCCACAAATCTATCATAAGATTTCATCATAAGTATCAATATGTAAAATATATTCATGTAAAATATATTCTGTATCCTAATAAGTTTAGCATCTCTATGAAAAATATTTAATTAAAACAGAAGTTTGACTTATTTTGTTCTTCGATATAATTTTATGATATTTTTGTAAGATATTTCAGATTTCTTTATTTTAAAGAAAATAAGTCCTGTAAAGAGGATTTTGATACTCCTGTAAAGAGGATAAGTCCTTCTTGATATCTCTGTAAAAAGAATAAGTTCTTCTTTTAAGTATATAATAATGAACTTCTCTAAAATTTGTGATGAGTATATTTTGAGAAAAATAAAAAAAATTTTTTTATCGAAGATAATTATTATTCAAAAGAGTGGAAGTAAACTGAGTAATCGTTCTTTTTAACAATAGAACGATATTTTTTCGTGTGTACATTCAACACAAAAATACCACAAATTAGAAATTCACCAAGTCATATTACAAGAGTTTGAGTCATTTAAATCTGTTTTTCTCACTTCTGAGTAAAGTATATCTTATTAACTGCGTCCTTCGCGACGATAGACGATAGACGGATATACAGACGATTGCGCTTTTTATCGCATCTTAGAAATTTTATCGATTGGAACGCCGCCAACATAAGCTCCCGACTATATCTGTCACTGCCACCGATACGAGAAAACGACGCGGTTAAGTGCAACTCATTAAGGTGTCGACTGAAACTTCACACTAACGTCGCATTCAAAGCTTAAACGAGAATTTTGTGTTGCAAACTTCTCCGAATTCTCGGATACTCCCAGCTCGCCGTACGAGCTTCGTATCTCGTCAGACTTGCAGAATTGATTCTGTTGTGAGCAGAACGTTTAATTAACAAGTGCTCGGGACGATTGGGCCTCTGGTTGATCGGAAATGTTAGCTGTGCAAACAAAGAAGGTCGCCTAGCGACTAGATGGAGATAGAGATTCTAGGACGTTGTTCCAGATAATAAAATGAATCTAAGATCTCATCTTGATCGGCTGAATTTTGCTGATGCAACAATATTCTCGACGACAGCGACCACGCATACACCGTTGCGTTCCACAATATGCAATTGCACGCGTCGTCTATTACAAATACAATTATAAAGCGACCGGCGTAATTTCCGACACGTGCACGCCCTGCAAAAACTAAGCATGCTCGGTCTCTGACGGCGCGCAGTGACAAATCGATTCCTTCGATTTTCGAAATTCTCGCGCGAGAGAGACGCGACAGCCCGATCGGTGGCTGGAATATTGTAGAACGCGGGAATTATTTTGTGTGTTGAAATTCTCTTTCATAATCTCTCGACGTTCGAGTCGGCAGCTATTCTTCTTTTTCTTACCTTGTCCTTGATTAAAAAAACGAAAATCCTTCTTTATTATTATCGTATTATTCGGATTTAGCGTGCGACAACACAATCAATTGCGCATGGAGCGCGAGCGTATCGGTATCGGACAGGCAGCCGATTAACCAATGTTACTCGCTTGGCAATCATTTCTAATGTATAACGATACGATAACTTTTTTTACGTAATTGTTGAGTTCAGACTATCCAATCAAAACAAATGATGTTCCTCGAATGTTTCCTGTGTCTAGTTCGTTGTGAAAGCGAAAGCTCGAGAATAATCCCAAATAGTACAAAACTTTTTAGAATCACATGAATATATTCAGGATGTCTTGGAGAGTGTTTTTATTCTCGCGTGAAAAGACTAATCACCGCAGACAGGAACTCTGAAAAGCGTTATTTTGTAAGCGACGAACACATTATTTAATTATTTGCATACTAGTGAAATAGTATTTGTTGCATTATATTTTATTTGACGATATCGCGTCATAATATGCATTTGTAAAATTCTGCAACTGCATTTTGGCTGAACGTCAGCTGCTCTCCAGCTGGAAACATGGACTCAAAGTTCACACGATTCGGCCTCATTTGGCGCATCCGCAGCGGAAAAGTACATATTGTCTTGCTGTTATGTGCGATAAAGAAACGCGCTGATAATACAAGCAAACTCGAAAATGGTTATGAACGGTCGCATTATGATAAGAAAATGCGACAAGATATTTTTACGTTTGCTCATTCTGCAGATACAAATTTTGCGATAACAATGAGGAGAAACAGAATTTCGATACTACATTGTAAAACGCGAATCTTTATGATTGTTTCGTGGCAAACAGTGGCAGTGCGTTAATGTCTAACGAGAAGATAATGTTTGCAGAGTGAGTCATGCGACTCCTGATTGAGATAATATTTTTCGCAACATAATAAAATTTACAGAACACAAAATAAACAGAGATCAATATTTAAATTATTAATTGTTTCGGCTTGTGTAAGGACCGACTTAATTAAATAGGTAACGAGTTACGTGATGTCGATAAAACATTGCGACTTGGGTGGCATACACGATAAATTCGATTGTATAAAAAAAACACATATTTGCCTAGTTATCTCCGACGTACACGGATCGCTGCTAATAATATCGAATCGATGTTTGAAAGCTTCCTGGAGGCTATTTCTGATCGATTGGCCTGAAATTATTAAAACCTTCCGTTTCGTCTGCTTTCTTGATGAAGCATTGAAATCTCACATCTTACACTGAAATATGTATTTTAAGGTCTAATTGTGACATGATGCGATCGGCTATGTTTGATGTTGACTTAATATACGACAATAAAACGGAGCGAAACATCGCGTTGCATGATCTCTAAACCGTAAAATACTTTGACGATTGTAAATGTATCTCGGTAGAATTTCAGGTATTACATGATGCCCAAACGTTCGTGGTACAAAGCTGCTTAGATACATTTAACTTCATCCGTAAACGTGTTTTCACACGAAGTCCACTAGCCAAGTCTAAGATTTTACCTGAATTAAAGCGAGAAATTGAACGGGTGCGAGACGCGAAATCTTCCGTTTCGTCTGCTTTCTCGATGATACGAAGCATTGAAATCTCACCTCCTACACTGAAATATGTATTTTAAGGTCCAATTGAGACACGATGCGATTGGCTATGTTTGTCTTAATATACGACAATAAAACGGAGCAAAACGTCGCGTTGCACGATTCCTGAGCCATAAGATGCTTTGATGATTATAAATGCATCTCGGTAGAATTTCAGGTATTACATGATACCCAAACGTTCATGATACAAAGCTGCTTAGATATGTTTAACTTCATCTGTAAAGGTGTTTTCACATGAAGTCCACTAGCCAAGGCTGAAGTCTCAGATTTCACTTGAATTAAAACGAGAAATTGAACAGGTGCGAGACGCATTATATACACGATGAGAAAAGGATTAGATAATAGATGTTAGAAAAAGAGACTTCGGCATACGTGAAATTATGTAACCGAACATTAAAAGCAATTATTAATTAAAGCTCGTTTTGTTATTTCCTTTCTGTATATCCAATTTCATCGATCTAATTTTTACATCCTTCATTCTTTGTTTGGAAAATAGAGAAGGAAGCTAAGGACGATCACCACTGGCGTGAGCAAGTGTCTGTTAGACTAGTGGCACACAGAAAAACTTAAGCAATAAAACGTAAGCAGTAAACAAATTGGCCAATCGCAGTTGCTGATTTTTTTTACGGTCCAAGAATTACGCAGGCACGCTCCTGTCGCTCGTGGGGTCGCGGTGACGATTGATAACTAGATATATGCGTCTCCACCCGTTTGCGAGGGCGCCGCTAGGCGTTCTGAGAAAAGCCTTCTCTCATAATAAAATTTCATCGTCAAGGAGGATATAAGAACGTTCGCTGAGAGACTTAGCGTCTCTTTCTTATTCGCCCACCTCGTTGCCGATCTAGTTCATTTCAACGTTGGAGTTTTGGGTTGTTATCACAAGATTCTGGGCTTTATTTCTTTCCTAGGATTCATCGCTTCGACCTTTCTTTGAATATTCTTCAGGAATGTTAAAAAGAAGAAAGTACCTTTCCGGTCCTCGCTGCCTTGATCAACCTTTGGTTAAAGCCTTCGCGGCTTTACGGTCCTTGCGACCAATCTCAGGCCTTCTTCGCGACCTCGTTCAGCCTTTGACTGAAGCCTTCGTGGTGACTCTACGGTCTGAACGATAATTTTCAAGTCATCACGGTTTTGGTCAGCCCTAAGCTGAAGCCCTCGTGGCTCCCGTCTTTTTTCTGTTTCAGATAATTTTAAAGCAGAGATATAGACCTTAAGTTGCACTTGCCGAATGAAGCAACATCTTTCCTTTTCCCTCAAAGATCCCTACTATTCCACAAGCGCGACGTATTTATCATTTAGCCGAGCAAGAGATTAACACAGTAAATGTACATTTTCAGCACCACTGGATGATGGCTGATCTCAAGAATCTCGCTCTGGCCGGTGGCGGAGCATCCAGATATAGCGGCGATGAACAAGTGCAATTTATCCCAGGTGGAAGTCATCAGGTGACGATCAGATCACCCCCTCCCTCTTTACATTTGGAAAATCTCAACAATGCAGTTCATGGGTAAGAAGAGTTTATTGTGATTTCTTATCGTTCGTTCGTTTGAAGTCCAAACTCGCGTTTTGTTGTGTTAAAAATACGATTAGATATTTGATAAATCGAAGAAAAGGAAAAATATTTGTTGCAACGAATAGAAACAATTGATCGCGACGATTGAGTGACACAAAATGCGGTAAAAAATGAGAAAGAAAAGGAAAAACATGAGCAACCGATCTGAACATCTCTTCGACCGTTGGGTCGAAGCTTTATACTGCAGTTCTAAACAAAATCGTAAAACTCGTAACTTGTTCTCGTAAGAGTCGTAAAAACTTATGAGTAGATCTGCAATTCTATGCGCATATCATAACTCGTAAATATCTTCGATTTTCTTTTTTTTTTCGTAAGCTACGACTTTACGATTTGACAATTTATTCGTATATTTGCTTAAAATTGCAGCATTAGTTAGATGTTACGCGCGTATTAGATCGTCTGAATTATAAATCGATGAATTATGGATGGCTGCATTGAAGCGCTTACAGGAGAATGCAGGGCGAATGTGAAAATGTGGTGAATGAGGCAATGGTGAATGAAGCAAATATGGTGAACGTATCACGCTTACTGGAGCTTACTGGAGTTACGTGAAACTTTTCCTTCGCGACTATATCGGCGTCGGTGATTTGATATTATAATACGATTATGCTAATGTGTGTGGACGTGGGTGAATGTATGTTCGTGGGCTCAAGTACTAGCGTGAACACTGGTTTGACAAAAAAGAGGTGATTGATAAAAGCGAGAAAGCGGTGAATGGATGAGAGATTGCAGGCGTTAAAGAAATGCAAATTCTACTACTGCATAAAACTTATTTCGCTCACGAGGCAAATTATGTCTACGAAAAATTCGTGAAGGCTTACGATCGCGTTGAACAATCAAAAGAGTTGTTTAATAAATAACTGTTTAAGATTAATCATATTTACGTCAGGCTGATAACTATGATTCGCTTATTGATGCTACAAGTCCATGAAAGTGAAAGGAAACGAATGCGTTGCTGCAGAAGTTTCCAAGTTGCTCTAGGCGATATATAGTGGTTTAAAAAAAGTCTCCGGATTACCTCGAACTCCGTTGCAGATAATCTTCGATTGTGGAAAAGGGAATCTAGATTCTTTATTCGCTCTTGGATCTTTCTTTCTCTCTTTCTCTCTCAACATAAACCGTCATCAATGTATCTATTAGCATTCTACAACGCATGTTTACGATGTGTAAAAAATTATCTGTGTAAAAATTACCTGTGAAACAAGAAGTGGCGAATACACTTATACACACACATATTTATACCTACATACATAAATACACAGTACTAATATTAATTATTATACCATCTAGAAAATTATTCATTCATAGAGATACTCTTTAACTACTTAATGTAAGTATAATATTGTTGTTCTGACACTTGTATTTCTTTAGATTAATATCCATACAGAAAACGAGAGTTAGTGATTGTCATACATTATCTGTTTTTACGTTATGCGAATATTTACTCCGTATTATTCTTCAACGAATCCTTTCGTTTTATATATGTTCCAAAATAGGCTTTTTGAATTAAACCCGAAAACGAACAGTGTTATTGTTGCTTTGTCTAAAGAAAAGTTTTCTACACACGAAATAACAGCCGGAGTTAAATTCAATAGCAAGATTCCTAAGAAAATACCGAGAAACAAGAATTTACAGTGAATCAAGAATAAAATTCATACGATTGCAGTAGATGACCGAGTTTTTAGTAGAATTTGTCTGAAAAATCGCCGACTAATATCAAATTAATTAAAGTGTGAGTGAGAAGAGTCTTCTTCTGTAGTCGTTCTGTAGTTTGTTTAGCTGTCTTAATGTCTGAAAGCGCTTGTGTGAGTACTCAAATTTATTGATGCAATAATTAATACTAGTACTGTACATACATACGTAGATACACACATTTGTACATATATACGTGCATACTTATGTACAATATCACACGGCATTGTGTGTACTACTCTTTAGATTGACGATTTTCGATCTTACACGTGTACGCATATCGATCGTAAGTAGCATAAATAAATAATTATAATGGTAAAACATACATAACCCAGTGCGTATACAAATTACAATATTTTTAAATTAGGAAATAATCATTAGTCTCACTGTTTCCAACATAAATACACAGGAGGTATGACAATTCAATATAAAATCCATTGTTATTTCAGAAAACGTCTAGTAATTCTGCGACACGTGTGTACGTTATTGATTTATTACATTACGGTATTACCTTATGATCGTCTGGGGAAATGTAGGGTACAAATAGGACCTACATAAATTAATATTGACCGCACATTTGTCCATGACAGCTACGGGGTCTTTGTAATATTATTAATCGCGTTGCGTTTTCAAACAGTATATATGACGATCTAACACAAAATCCGTTATGTTATTTCAGAAAACAACGAATAATAATGTTCGTTTTAATGTGCGAGAAGATGAGCTTTTTAATAAGCCGCAATATTTAAAGATACTTGCTCTCTCTGATCACTAATTGATACCTAAATTGGGTTTTATTTCCATGTATTGATATCAAATAAGTAATGGGATGTAAATTCGTCAAGATTAATGATTACATCACAGTTGATTTAACTCTCACTCTCAAACTGACCTACGCTTCGTAATCTTGAGCGAGATCCAACTGTCATCAGGACGCAGATTGCAATTCATTCAGACGTAAGCTCTGAATTTAGACATGCTTCGTGAGAGCTGTGAATGAGGGAGAATACGACCCTCGGGTCAGTCCTCTGAACACGCAAACCTACCCCGTAAATACTAAGGTCTAAAAAGGATCTCAAGGTTCTACCTTCGATCGTTGTAGAAGCTCCCTCAAGGTTTGTCCTTAAAATGGGTTTCAGATAACTTAATCTATGGCCGCTAAAAACAATTTACCTTTAAAACTACTTTCAAGTAAGAATCACTTATCGTGTATTAAATCGCATTTCATGCGAGAGAATTTTCTGCCATTGACGTTAAAGGTGTTCAATGTAAAAAACTTACAAAAGTATCATTTCATCGTCATATATATGAGGATAATCAGAAAAAAAGAAACAATTGTTTCGTGGAAAGTGAAACAAATGTTTCGTGAAAAATTAATTTAATAGCGTTAAATTCATGAAGAAGAATCGACGACGCAATTAATCGATTTGCGTTGGTAACGAGCATGTTTGACGTTCGAATAAATGTCTATGGCTTTATGTCTATGACTTTATAAATTAAACAAAAATCTACAGATAAGTCGCGCGCAAGTTCTGTGATGTACTCTCTATATCGAAGAACTTCAAATGGCAATCGATACTAATAGTTTCAGGGTCCCTATAAACAATCACGGTCAAGGTTTTTGACCTTTTCGTTGAAGATTCGATTAAACACTTCTCGAACTTGGAAATACCAAGAGGAGTCAAGTATGCACACATCATGAGGCTGGCGCTTGCATACACGGTTTGAGTTTGTCATAAATTCAATCGAAATTTTCTAAACTATAGGCTTGCCCGTGATCGTGAGAGAGGATCGGTTACTTCGGCTTGCCACGACCCCGTGACTCATCGTCAAGGGCAACGATGCGACCGTAACATGTCGCCAGACAGAGACGCGTCTCCTTTGTGGCTTTTTCGAGTCAGTCGAGTGAATGAAGAGATTGTGCATTCGCGTGCTACGTGCATCCTTTTGCTATATTGCCATATATTTTGCTATATTACGACAAAGTTACACAAAATATCTCTCGGAACGGTGTCTTAACTTCGCTGAGAAAGATGAAGGAGCATAGATATACACGACATCTTTTTCCACACTTTTTGTGTTAAGTATGAAACAATGGAATATTCTCATGATAAAGTATTCTCTTCCTCTAAGTGACTAAACGCGATAGTACTTGAACTTCGTACACGGGACAAGAAAGTTAGCTGCAGCAACAACCCGAGTCGAAATTTTAGTCTTACTTTCGACATCAACTTTCCAACATCTATATATTCTGCAGAATTAGTTTATATTTAATACACATAGAAACTTAAGTCCTACTTTTAAGTGGCAGTAAACGCATAACAGCGACAAAATGTCTGTAGCTTTTAAAAAGGATCTTTCGGCAAAATTAGTAGGTTCAATCAAAAGAGATTGATATAGATTTCAGAGTATCAAAATAAGCGTTAAATAAAACGTTTAGAGACCACAAGTAGGATCAAAATTTCGACTCAGGTAGAATCTGTAAATAGTCTATCTACAAAAGTTCTACTTAGTTATATATACTTAATATTTATAATCGATGTAGTAGCGACAGTAATAAAAGCTTTAGTTACAGCAACAAATGTTTAGTTATATACAGAGAAAAACAGTTTAATTGTAACGAAGGAACAACCGCGTTTTGGTCGAAGAAAATGAAATTTCTAGTCCTTAAAACCATATTTGAGTCGTATATTTTAGTTCGTTTATTAAAATCAAATTTCACGTTAACATAAGCAAATGTTTTTCTCCGTATAGCAATAAATATATTTTCAACAAACTATGTGCAGTTAGATGCGGCAGAGAAATTTTGTTTTCATATAGCGCGAGTTGGACTATTTATGCGTTGCAATCGTGCGCCGAGAAAGTTGATACTCAACTTAGTGTTTTAAATTTTTATAGGCCGCGCCACAATAAAGCGTCTTAATGTCGTGTATGAACAAGTCAATAGACAGCACGGCAGACTTACATGATGCACCTTGTAAGAAGCGAGGCGTTATAAAATTTGTCGTCTATAAATACAGAGAAGCGTAATTAGAATCGATTGGGCGAGTCTGCACGCGATCTTTCTATTATCCGATATTATCATCGACGGAAATGCCAAAAATTACGCGCTATTGCTTTCGTCAGATTGTCTATTCGTCTGGCTTATCTGCCGTGCTATCGGAAATAGGGAAACTCGTGTCTCGTGAAACTAGGTGTTTGCTCAACACATATAGTCCGCCCACGTTCGGCGCACGAAGATAATTAAATAACGAAGTTATTAACGCTGCACTGCAAAATTTTTATTCTGTAAAAATATTGAACTAGTCAGATATTAATATTAATTTACGATTAAATAATATTTAAAAGAATGATCGTATATTTAGATTTACATCAATACTTTAGTTCGATTTCAAAGTCGGCAAAGTTTTGATTACCGGTGGTGTTTACTTCTACATAGATCTCTCGAAAGTGAAATGTACGTATCGTTGGCAATTTGCTGGAGAGTTTAACGGGCTTCGCTCAGTCGCCAAATTTTTTCGCGCTAGAAACCGTTCTCCTGATTACTCAACGGACACAAACAAGTTAGTTATTTTCACTTTAATAGCGCTGGCTCAGCGCAAATCGCTCGATGATTCTCGCAAAACCATACCGATATATCCGTCGTATTTTCCTCGAAATATACTCACCATGGATTCAAATTTAACTTACCACTTTTATTACGTTCCTCGAAAGTTTCTTGAGTGAGCTCGACGGTGAGCGGAACGCTTTGTAATAAAAATGACCGCGAGATCTGTTCCTGATGAAATGAGTACGAAGAAAAGCCCAAGAAATACGCGATAAGCAGGCTCGGTAAAGAGCCGAACTTCTAACGTAAAAAATCATTCTAATGTAAAGAAAATTGGCCACAGAGATATTATTCGTGCCGTATCCCCTCAATAGCTACAAGTCTGTCGAGTTTACCTATGATAGCTGATTACGTGGTTGCGCAAAATGTCAGAAACAATGTCAGTTTTACGCGCCCGCATTTGTATTGGCCTTTAATGTCGAGGAATAGTGAACTTTCACAACTATAACCGCGGCAGAAATTACGGAAAAACTACGTCTTCACGACGGGTAACGGCACGTACGTGAAATCGCGATGCAACGATACCACATAGCTGTGCACAGTAAAGAACTCTAGCGTAGTCTTAATGTGTCGTTTCCGGCATTCGTCGTACGAATAACTTCGATATTGCGTTTCGCGTGTGCGTGTCGGAGATACATTCTCCCTGACGAATGCATCGACAAGTTATGAAAAGTCGGAAAAACTGTCATTAAGATCCATCGCGATGGGAGCGGCCACGCGCGGTCCGCATATCATTGTTCTTCGAATCTGAAAGCAACCATGAACTGAATGTTCAATGTCCTATGCAATCTCGCGTTCACCGAACATTCAATGGCGTCCGAAGGCATGATCAATTACGACTCAATGCTGAAGAATTAATTGTTGGAATCGCGTGCGTTTTAAATGTAAATTTCACTGAAATACGATGAATACGCGGACGGATCTCTCTTGCGTTTGATATTTGATATTTCGATCACGTGTCCCACTTCATGGACTGCGATTTCGCAGAATGTCACAAAAACCTTATCAACTTCAAACAGATGCATTCGTAAGCTTGCGGTTCGCGTGTGTCCTGCACGGCGAGCCTGCATTCGGCGGGAACGGTCGAGCGCGGTTATTTAATTTTAATGCGTGCAGGTTTACGCTTTTCTCCGCGACGGCGAAGCAATATAGGTTACCGTGCAATGATTACACGACAAACTTCAGGAGTCTCTTGCTGCATGAAAATGTGTAAAAGCTCGTCGTTTTTCGCAGAATTCCTATGATTGATAAAATGTCGAACGAACGAGAAAGTAACATCAGAAGCGCTGTTATTGAAATTCAATTAACGAAATTAATAGAACAGAGAGAAAAATGAGAACATTTTGTTGTTGCAGCGGTTCGCAGAACAATCTCCATTGCAGTTGCAACGGCACTACGTCGAACGGTGCAGCAGCGGCGGTATGTACCGGTGGGGTCCTGGCCAGAAAAGTGCCGAACCACAGCGGTGCTAGTCCCGGACAGGGTAACAAAAGGCCGGCGGTATCGCTGACGCATCTCCCGAAGAGGCCACCGGTCGACGTGGAGTTCAAGAACCTGGCCTACAGCGTGTCCGAAGGCAGGAAGAGGGGTGAGTTTCGGATTGAAAGTGCCAATTGCACGTTCAATTCCTGGGAGAAAGTCTCGTTTCTCGTTTTCGCGCGTTGCACGCTGCTCGGACTGTAATGCTCTTTATTCATCGGTCAAAAGAAAAAAAAAGAAGAAATAGTAAAAGAAGTGTTGAAATAGAGTTCTCGACGCGCAAGAGTTAGTCCGAGTGTTATTCTACTTGTAAGAATCAAGGTTTCACGTTTCAAACGAGACAAGATGAGTTACCCATGAATTCGAGTTCCACTCTCTCGGCGTGTCTTCGTGCCTGCATTACTCGCCCGACATGTTCGCTCGGACGATGCGGATAATTCGCGATGTTCGAGTGATCGAGTCGAAGGGGCGAATCAAATATGCAGGAGCCTATCCGGTAGGCTTTTCGTCTATCAACGTGTGTGAACGACCTGACCGAAAAAATCGATAGGAATGCACGGGCAGCTCCCGTTTGAGCGCAGATGCACTGCTTGCGGTGCAGCTGCACCCGCGATAAAGAGGTCAGCCAGAGGTTTTGTCCGCTCGAGGGATGTATAATCCGTGCGAAACCCTGTATGGCGATCTAGTCCGAATGTCACGGTTTTGGCAAGATCTCACAGTGAACATTTTGGCAATCAACTATGCCAAAATTGAATATACTGACTTATGCTACTAATACGCTAACCATCACGCTGCTCGTTCATTTTCGTGCTCGTTAGGTCTGCGGCGATGAGTTTAACATTCTGGGTTGTAACTTAAGGAGGCATTATCTCTTCCGTATTACTCCACATAGAACATTGTACGAGTACAGTTTCTTAGCCATCAATCGGCTGAGAATATTAATTAATATAGATACTGATACAGGGTGTTGCATTTACAGGTTGTCAATACGATGGGTTGCTTGTGCGTTTCGTTGGCAGGTGCGCGGTTTCAGTAGACCTTGGGGAAGAACGCTCACTTGGAACATAAACTTCATAGAGAAGAAAGCGCGCAAGTGAGCATTCAGCCAAGGCCTATTGAGACTGCGCACAACTACGGCGGCTGTCAGCGAAACGCATAGGCAACACATCATACTGATGTAAGTACAACACTCTGTACAATTAATCTTTCTGATACGTTGCGTATTACAATCAGGAACAAGTTAATCAATCTTTTTAGCGAACGATAATTTTTCCTTTTATTTTCACTGATGTGTAATATTCAATTTGTTCTCTAGAATTAATTGTTATCTTTTTCTTCTTGTCTCAATATATAATAATAACACGGAAAAAAAAGATTTGTTAATATATGGACAACTAAAAATATTAACTGCAGGAGCAAATTTTCTTAGTTTCATAGCAAAGTTATTTAGTTGTGATAACTAAAAGATTTGCTAATATATATATTAAAATTTACTCCTGCAGTTAATATTTTTATTTGTCCATATATTAGTAAATCTTTTTTTTCTGTGAAGAAACACTCCCGTACATATGAAATAACAGTAATAATAACAACGAAGTCGTATATATTTGAAAATATCTTTAAAGACATTTAATCTCTAAGACTTCTATTAAAAAAGGGAAAAGCAAATCTATGGCAATGCGCATCGCATAAATACAAGCGAGATTTGAGATAAAATGATTTACTACAATTTCTCTTTATTATTTCTTTCCATTGCATTGCAGGATATAAAACTATCCTAAAATGTGTAAACGGGAAATTCCGATCTGGAGAATTAACGGCCATCATGGGACCATCCGGCGCCGGAAAGAGCACCCTGATGAACGTTTTAGCAGGTTACAAGTAAGTAATAGCATTCGCACAGAAAATTTACGATCGGTTAGGAGTAAGCGACTAGTCTTTACAGTAGAGGTAATTAAGTCGCGCTGATAACGCAGCGAAATATTATCGGTGAGAGATTTCAGCAATTTTTATCGTATTTTCCAGAACATCCCACCTGAGCGGATCAGTGTTAATAAACGGAAAGGACAGAAACTTAAGAAGATTTCGAAAGATGTCTTGCTACATCATGCAGGACGACCGATTGCTGCCACACTTGACCGTTGACGAGGCGATGACTGTCTCGGCGAACCTGAAGTTAGGAAAGGACATAAGCGCGACTGCCAAGAAAGTAGTGGTATGATCAGCAGAATTTCTCTTCCTTTGTCTGCATGATCGTAAAAGAACGATCATTCAAATTTAGTCGGTTCTTGATAGTCGTGTGTAATCGTTTGCAGATCGAAGAGATAATCGAAACTCTCGGCCTACGCGAAGCCAGCAACACGCAAACTCAGAATCTCAGTGGAGGACAAAGGAAGAGGCTGTCGATAGCGTTGGAGCTCGTCAATAATCCTCCGGTTATGTTCTTCGACGAGCCAACTTCCGGCTTGGATAGCTCTTCCTGTTTCCAATGTCTCAGTTTGCTCAAGTCCCTAAGCAGAGGAGGTAAAATTCTCGTCAATATTCTGCGATCATCTCGTGTTTGCGTGACAGAAGGGAACGTTATCGGACACGTTGAAACTTTTTATAGGGAGGACGATCATATGCACGATTCATCAACCGAGCGCCCGTCTGTTCGAAATGTTCGATCATCTTTACCTACTTGCCGAAGGCCAGTGTATATATAAAGGCAACGTCGGTGGTTTGGTGCCCTTCTTGTCATCAATGGGTCTCGATTGCCCGAGTTATCATAATCCAGCGGACTATGGCAAGTATTTCGTGTTTTGCTTATCTTAATTAGTCAAATTTCAATCATTATTATAAGTTGCATCTCGAGAGAATCGTTAGTAGAAATTCGCATAGATTTAATATCGCAAAACGATAAGATAGTATTGCCAAGTACAATTTTGAATTGCCTTTGTGCATGGAAGAAATATTGTAGTAAAAATTACAACCCAACTTTTTGTTCCTGATCATAGAAAAATCATAACCGAAATTATTATATATTTGTTTAAAAATGTCATGTACGTTTGACTTCTTACTACAAAATTGTTGTAATTATTTGAATGTGTCCTTTATATTATATTAAAAAAATTACTTTCCACCGTAATTTTTGCTGACAATGTCAGTATAAATCGGCTTTACAAAAATGTAAAATGAGATATAGTTTTAACGTGATTTTTATTACAATATTCTCTTCGTAAACGGTTGCACTTTTCAAATTTGCAAAGTGTTGACAATATCGTCCGTAGTTTTATCGTGTAAGTTCACTCGACGTTAACGAAAATTTTATCGGTTCAGTGATGGAAGTCGCCTGCGGGGAGCACGGCGAATGTGTTCACAAGCTCGTGATGGCCGTGAACAATGGCAAGTGCAATAATTATCAGCATCATCAGGCGGCGATCGCCGCGGCGCAGACGGTCTCCAATGACATCGCCAAGGAATCGCCGCAGGAGCAGACGAAATCAGAGGGCACAACCTTGATACCGAATGGCGTTGCGAAGGCACCGGCAGGCGCAGCGATGATCAACATGCCGGTGTCTTGCACAACGTCATTGTTGGACAGTGCAGAGAGCATAGAGCAGAAGGTTGGCTTTCCGACGAACGGTTGGATGCAGTTCTGGATACTGCTAAAGAGGACCTTCCTGTCGCAAATACGAGATATGGTAAGCGCGATGTTACTCGAGCACGAAGCTCGCTTCTCCATCGATTAGTCTGGTAATTACGGCTCTTGATTGAAGAACCGAGCATTTAATATCGTGAAAAAAAGTAATTACGTTGCATCGAATGAAGGTAACGCAGCTTTTATTGCGAAAAGAAGAAAGCAATATATTATACAGTTTTTATACGTCGAGAGACCGGCGAATCTACCTTAGGATACTTGCTTTTCATTGTACCGATTTTCCCTTTTCAACAGACGCTGACGAGAGTGAGATTGATCTCGCATATAATCGTCGGCTTGCTGATCGGCGCGATTTATTACGACATCGGTAACGAGGCCTCGGAGGTCACCAGCAATGCCGGATGCGTCTTCTTCACAGTGATGTTTCTCATGTTCACCGCTATGATGCCTACCATATTAACATGTACGTAGCACGCAGTTGCATCAGCGCGACACGCCACCGCGAGGTTCATTATATTGTCATCTTGTCGCTCTTGTTGCAGTTCCGATGGAAATGTCCGTGTTTGTGAGAGAGCATTTGAATTATTGGTATTCAGTGAAAGCTTTTTATCTTGCGAGAACGCTGGCGGACTTGCCATTTCAAGTGAGTATAAAATTTCAGCTTACTGTGCCCAATTAACATATCGTAACACGTCGATTCATGACACACGATACTGAATTTTTGCAGATTGTATATTCCATAGCGTACGTGATGATTGTGTACTTCATTACGTCGCAGCCGCTGGAAACGGAGCGTTTTCTTATGTACCTAAATATCTGCATCCTGACATCGTTAGTCGCGCAATCTATCGGTCTGCTGATAGGAGCAGCGATGAGCGTGGAGGTAACGTTACGATACATGGAATGTATTGGGGTTGGACGTTTACGCGTAAATTATGATATTCTATGCGTAGACAAAACGTAAACTATGTACGAGATGTCATCTACATATGTAGACAATGAATAATCTCTAGATGTCATTTAAAAAACGTATGTCTTTATTTAACATGTGATCTATATTAAATTTTTAGAATTTTCATGTAAATTTGTAAACGCTGTTTTTTGAACAAATTAGGGCTCACAGAATTCCCTAATTAGATTTTTACCTTCGGTGTTAAATTCATCAATCTGTTACATAATGAAATGAAAATTTCATGTAATTTATTTTTTTGAAACATTACATTTATAATTAGTAGCAAAAACAGGTACGATTGTCTCACGATTAAATTACTCTTTTTTTTGTATATTTTAATATAATTTACAATTTTCTACATAGTTTACATTGTCTGCGTGAAACGAGACCGTGCATACGTCACGTAGATAATACAATTCGCGTAAACATAATCTTGAAATCTACGGTACAACCTCGGAATATAACTGTATAAAAGCAGTACGATCGCAAGAAAAATGCATGATATTAACGCGTTTCTTTTTAATCTTTCCTTCGACCCACTTTCGAATTCATTTTGTCAATATCGTTTTCAGACGGGAGTATTCATCGGGCCGGTAATGTCGGTGCCGATTGTCCTGTTCTCCGGTTTCTTCATCAATTTCGACGCTGTTCCGCGATACTTGAAGTTTCTCTCGTACGTGAGCTACGTGAGATACGGTTTCGAGGGTGCCATGATCTCCGTGTACGGCTACAATCGAGCGAAACTGAAGTGTTCCGAGTCCTACTGCCACTACAAGAGTCCAACGAAGTTCCTCGAACAGATGTCCATGCAGAACGCGGTCTATTGGGTAGACGTCGTCGCTCTGGTCGGCTTTCTGCTCGTTCTCCGAGTGGTTGTTTACTTCGTGCTGAGACTCAAGCTGCGGTCCCTTCGTTAAATTCTCGTAGCAGTAGTCTAGGACAGACAATAATCGCGATCACGTCACGGTCGCTACAAGACCGTACTTGAACCGAGACTGTGACGTGGACTGTATCATCCAAGATTACGCTTTCACACAAACGCAGTCTGTTCAAACGGCAGTGAGACAAACGGAGGACGGTCGTGAATTAAAGATCTCTCAGGATCGACATTACCATGGAAGTCGTCGTATCGATAACACCAGCAAGGAAAACATTTGCGAAGAGAGAGAAAGAGAGAAAGAGAGAAAGAGAAAGAGAGATCATACGAATATGAGGGAACACCGTAAGTCGTTTTCGATTAAACCAATCGTTTAACGCGCGAACTTTGATACGTGTTTTAAGTCCTTAGACAACGCGAGGTACTTTATTTTCTGTCCGCCTCTCTTTCTCTCTCTATTAGGGGATATAATGTTTTTTTATTAATTCTACTGGTGTAGCGGTTAATGCTTGGAAGGGTGCTTGATTATTATTAATCGTAGGGATTATACAGCTTACACCGGTACCAAACCGAATGATCTCTGCCGTTGGCAAAATGCCGTTGGCATTTTAACGTACTTCATTAGCCCGAGTAATGTAAGAAGCTATCGTGGGTCACCGCAACAACCCGAAGGGATCCGATAATCCTAAAGACGAATCATAATCTTAGGTCGCCTAGGTCGTTTCAATAAAAATAGTACAGGCAGCAGGAAGTTAGGCTACTCTCAATCGTGCATTAAACAATAGTAGGCCGTGACGACGGCGGAATATGTCAGGTTTTAACCGTACTGAGTGAAAATCGCGAACGTTTATAGCCAATTACTACGAACTCGCCAGGAGCTTTAGGCCCATTCAAGACTCGTGTCCCTCCAACGAGCGCGTTTAAACGCGAGCGCGACGGAAATAGTGGTTTCTACAGGTAGACAAGTAGAGTACACAGATCGTTAAAACGAGTCTTTTATTATTCTTCATCTTATACATAGCTCGCTATGTTCACTTCAACTTCGACGGATCACTCAAAGGTAAATGTACCGCGTATTCATGATCGCACAATAACGTCGGGTATACAAAACAGAAACAATTGCAAAAACCGAAAGCACGCTTGTCCGCGAGTAGCGTTTTCGTATTAATACGATACGATAGATACGCGTCTCACATAATCACACGATCGATCTTACTTCATATCGTAATTTCATGGACGGTTTACCTAATAGCTACGCGATAATTAAGGCAAGAAGGAATGAAGGGTTTACTGTGTATAAAAAGCTCACACTTGACCAATCACTAGCTGTCTGAGCGTTGCTTCTAAGTGCGAGTGCTAAATATTGTTATACTTACCATAGTATACAAATACATATATATAATTATTCGAACGGCGGGAGAATTGTATAGCTGTATAAAATGAGAGGAGACAGACAGTGTGCGCCTGTGTGTTAATGAATGCAATTAACTCGTATTCGATTTTTTATAACAATGCGATTGCTTTTTTGCGGCCTATGCACGATTACATTCTACGAATTCGTTTATCCAGGGACTGACGGAAAGACAGCGATTAAAAGTGTCTCGCAGACATTTCGAGTTTATTTTGTACGCAATATCGACACACACACACAACACACATACACACACACACCCACACACGCACGTACACAGATACAGACAAAACTCGTTGCAAATATTCTTAATCGGGACGGATACAATCAACGAAACAAATATAAGATTATAGGAAACGGCAATTTATATACTGCGCGTTAGTTTCATTAGCAGTGCAGGACGCATCACGTTTACTTTCGAAGCGGGTGGATTGAAGAATATCAATTATATCTTTTCTGCTCTGCATATGAGCGATAAGTGTAAATATGTAATAACTAACAATATTGTCCCAGTTTTTTATCTTCGTCGACGAGTGAATAATGGACGGAAAGGTAGTAGGGTTTATGGCGAACGTTACGAAGCTTACAATCCCACACAGTACATTATTTCACTTGTCACTAACCCGCAATACTCTCCGTTACAATTATATATTCTTTTTCTTAGGATAATGGGGATGAGAATTTTTGGTTGAATGTGTTATCAATTATGATCGTTATCCGTGTATAAGTGATAAGAAAGCAGTATTTACACTTTTTTGATATTATTTTTACATAACCGTTTACTTATCTTATCGTTACTATAAGTTAATTGTATGTTAATAGTATTTAAGATCAGTTAAGTACTTAGTGTTGATACGTTGAGTTTTTATCGGGATGGTATTTTTGTGTCAATAATGCGAAACTATCGATGCTATTGCTATCTGTTATTATCTTGGCCGATATTTTCTCTTATGTCACTTGGCGGTTCAGTAAATTTAGGAGGACAAAATTTTTAGTTACATCTTAACGGATAACCGGGGAGAAATTTGTGAAAATGCATGCACTCGGTTTAATTATGACATCAAGCGAATATATCTAGTTTTGTTTCTTTCGATTTTTTAAATTTCGTTTGGTATAAGGGGTACTTAATGCCTTTAAAGGCTTTATTTTTCAGCGTTGGGACTCGACAGCGAGTACCCTTTTACAACAGGACTTGTGCTATCGCTTTTCGCGTTATACGATTCTAATGTTGCAGAAAAAAAGACGTAGACTGGGAAAGGATATATTTGTATTAACTTTTGGGGTAGTATAAATAAATTTGCATATTTTTGGAGTTATCTTATAGTTATTCATTATTTATACTTGCACTTATTACTAGTCTAAGCAATGGTACAGTTATCGATACAGCCTGGAGTGGGAACAATTCGACTACGCAGGTGTACTGCTCTAAATTATTATGCGTCTTTTTTTCGTATACTATTATACTAATAAACTCGATTTCTGTGTATTGCGATCAATCGGCGGATAGACAGATTAATCGGTAATAATCCATACACCGCACCAAGAAAACGTATCCGTTAATTAACTTGCTGTGTTGTTATATAGAACGCCGTGATTTGAAATTTTAACCAAATGAAAAGAGGATGCATACATTAGTGCGATTGCGAGACTTGCAGGAGAACAGGTTCTTGCTCGCCGCGACTGAAAATTTTATTGAGACACGGTCATTCGTCCGTTGTCTTAGTAACAGTTTTATATGCGTGATATATCGTTAGCCACACAATTGTTACGCGCTCAGGTCTCGGCAGGTTGCTCCCACAATCTTGTCCCGGAGAAAGCGCATAATTTTCATGTAGAAAGGACAAAATACTCATCAATGTCTATTTTTTTCTCTTCATCTCTCTCTCTCTCTCTCTCTCTCTCTCTCTCTCTCTCTCTGTCAATTGCATTCTCATCGATACAGCCGAGATCTGAACGCGCGTCATGCCGCCAGCGAAGATTTCTCCGACAATTAGTGGCTAATCTCGGTCGCGCGAATGCTATATAATTTTGCGCTTATCCAGCCTCAAGTTCGTACAATGCCGTCGAGTTCATGCTGCACATGTCGTATTCGCGAGAGATCAACGAGCAAAGAACAAGAGGATCGGGATAATCGGCGAGCCGATCGTACCGTGAAGGATAATACGTGCGCATTGTGTTCAACACTTCGCGAACGTTACCGACGAGCACGCGAACTTTTTACTCCAACAATCGCGACGATCAATCGCGGGGAGCGCTAAACGCGAGACATGTGTGCGTGTGTGTTTGTGTATGTGCGCAACATATAGAGGAAAAAAAAGAAGAAGAAACAAAAAACTCATACGCGTGACTCGCCGCTTTTAGTGGATTATTATACCACCACATGTCTACACACACATACGCATACACACACCCGTGGATGTACAATGTACAACGTCAGACCACGTATCGCATATACCAAAATACCTTTTTCAACGTACTGTAATTTTATATGACAGGAAGAATGTGTTCGTGTATGATTGAGTGCGCGCGAAAGAGAGAGAGAATGTACGAAAAATCAGACGCGGGGAAACATCTTTTTTTCTTTTCCCAAGAAGACGACGATGACGACGGAATCGGCGTGTCGATTTGCGCGAGCCACGCGAAACCACATTTTCGCGTGACGGGAGTAATCATCGCCGACCCTTGGAGAGAACCGACGTTAAATAAATAATACTTCGTATCTTGGTTTTAGCGAGGGACGTCACGTTTGTACTAAAGCACAAATGAATAAACGATTGTATCAATGGGCGAATCATGTTCCTTGTGTGAAATTAACTCTCACCGGTACGCCTCACGTTCCAAATTGTCGCCCAGACGAATCCTTTTGTCAAAGAGAAATCGAATCACAGCATCCGCGGATAAACTTTTCGATTTCGCGTCGCGCGAAAATACTCCGTACAGTAGTATTTCATTCAAAAGATTCACAATGAGCTTGGATCGCAGTTGTTTGAATCGACGTCTGGACAGCGTGAATCGAAATCACGTGGTCCGTACGACCAATGGTGAAGCCAGGCCGGTTTTATTTTAAGTATTCCTTAGAGATACGCCGGTGCGACCAGATTACCAACTTCGTTTCACATTTTAATTTTACTCCAGCTTAGACAAAGATAGATAGATATATATAGAAATAGGGAGTGGAATTCTGTTACACTTGGAGCGATCTACGGAGCTTCCTAAATTATCTATGCGCTCTTTGCAATTTTTACTACATGTCCTTATTTAGCGTCTACCGCGTTCACTTGGAACGTTGTCAAGATGTTATTTGATCCGTATCTGGTCCGGGTTGGTGGCGAGTGAGTTCGGTGCAACACAGTGATGCCATTTGTAGGTCCAGGCAGCGTGCTCTAGCGTGCGCACCGCGTGCACACGTACACGCTTATTTGTGTGCATATCCCCTCCACACGCTAGAACATGCTGCCCGGACATACAAATGGCATTATTAGTGCAGTATTGCGAGTATTGCAACACGTTATACAAGAGCTGTTCTACCTGTGTCGCAGCACAATCGGACAGGGAATACTCCGATAGAGCATGGAGAAGCCTATAGTTCGGGCGAGAGTAATAAAGGTCCTAGGCAGGACGGGATCTCAAGGACAGTGCACGCAGGTCAAGGTAGAGTTCCTGAACGAACAAAACAGACAGCTTATCAGAAATGTCAAAGGTCCCGTGCGTGAAGGCGACATCCTGACATTGCTGGAATCCGAGCGGGAGGCCAGAAGACTCCGTTAACGCGGGGAGATGAGACAGTGATGATACGTAATCGCCAAAATTCCACTGTTGGAGGAACCACGTTATTATATTCTGGATCAAGAACGTCTGTCAAGAGCATGGGAAAAAAGCTATCGTTGCTGTTCGCGTGACAATCGTGTTGTTATTTTGTACTTTGCACATCTATAATAATGTATGAATCATGTTTTACTTGTGTCTGGAAAGACGAGTTTCCTCGTCGCTGTATTATTCCCTCGCATCATAGCGTGTTAATAAAGATTTTATATTAACTGTTATTCATTATAGAAAGGTGATGTTCACGATATACGTAGTGAATATGTTAAATTAATCATGCTTTTTTGAGCAATTCTGCAAAGAAGACTGAAAACAACTGCGATTCTCTACACATCGATACACTGGTAACTTTCAAAATATCCGTGATTAACAAAAATAATTAATGTAAAGGCGCTCTGAGATAAACAATCAAAAATAAAATTGAAAATAAGAGCATACAAGAGCCTAAGCGCTGTAAAGTTGTGCGCTAGAAAAAGATGTAATTTCTTGTTAATAATATAAATTATGAAATATACAATTCTATATTCCATGTACAAAAAAGTTGAGCGCTTTCTAGCGCTCAACTTTTATAGGCTCTATTTTCTAATTTTATTTGCATTATAAGTTTAGTCAGTCGCTTGTAATGTTTGGAAGGGTCTTCACAAACACAAACCTCCCATCAACTACAATATTGATGATTCTCCACAAGTGTTGTACGTTACACGGACAGTAAATTATTATTTACGCGAGAATGTTTCAAGAAAGAAACAGAGAAAAAGGATTCTATTTGTAAAACAGGAAAATGTTTATAAAAACGCATTTACACAGACTTTAAGATAAAATATTTACAACGGAGATCGTGTATTCAACGTTCAACTTGTCCACGGTTGGTATACGCGAAGTCGTCAGTTCTTCAGTAATCAGTAGTAAGTAACCACACCGATGACTGATAACAGCCATCAGCTAGACAGCCGAACAGCTACCAATGATTCCAGTTCTTTTTTCAGTTCACAGATGACCGAGAAATAACAGAGAGTTAACTTAATCATCGCACTTTTGCTTTTCTCATCGATAATAACATAGCGATAAATTATATCTCAACTATACCAATTATGTAGTACGTACTCTTTATCAACATGATAGCTGATAACAAATTTACCGACTTCAACTTCGGGTTCAGATTTTCCTTATTCTCCTCCCACGTGCAACTACGTCACACACCGCCGTAGCGCTTTGGGTGCCTTGGGCGGCTGGTCAGCTGACTTCGACCGCTGTCAAGCATCGGCCATGCGTAATACGTGTCGGTGACGTGCATATGGACGTTTGACAGGCCAGCGACAGTACGGAACGACGAAGAACGGCGACGTATGCTTTTCGCGACTGGTGGGGACGTGCGGTTGAGAGAGGAACATGGGTGTCAAAGTTAGCCATGCCGAGGTCTTATCGACGACCAATCCCTACCTTCGAACGGGGATGCCAGAATTCGCGACGAACAGAAGGCACTCTGCCACGGAGGATCGATCAGCTCGTTTAGTTTAACATTGTGTCGTCAATCGGCACGCGCGTGAGTGCCGGTGCGCCGTAGATTTCGGTTCTCGCGACACGCAAAAGTTCACGCGGCCTGCTTGCTAACTCACGAAGAGTACAAGGTTCTACGCTCTGTTCACTTTGGTAAGTATCAAATGTTTACTTCGCGCTTCGCAACGCCATGTGCATGTGCACGATAAAGCGTCTCTACAGAGCCAAACGCAGAGAGGACAGAGAGAAAGCGAAAGCACGAAATATGAAATGTATGATACGTATAACGTACAACAGCGCAGTTATTTACGCACTCTAGAAGCATATTTGGTTCCGTAACGTTGAACACATTTAATATAATAGCAACTGCGCGTCATCGAGATTACGACTTTGACAAATTTATTATATAAATGTATATTTTTTGTAACTTTTAATAATAATATATTCTTAAGCACGTTTTTTTCTAAATATTTGTTCAGACGTTTCATGTATAATTACGCTCGTTATTATTATTATTATTATTATTTGGTATTGCGTAAGAACATGTTCGTTAATTAATCGGTAGGGCGACGTACTTTTACGTAGCGATGTATACATAAAAGCCGAAATGAAAGTGTATCTTCGGCGAATTGCCCTGATACGTCCGACCGGCTTGGCATGTTTCGGTCTATATATTGCGGTAGCTGTGCATCCACAGCTCTGTACACTGATTGACGAAGTGCACTGCACATGTGTCGCGAATGCACGCTGTTACAAGTAACCGGGATATTTTTCGTATTTCTTGCTTAAGCTATTCCATACGTATTACGTTGTTCGACCTTTTCTATTTTCGGAATTATTACGTATATTCTATTTTCGGAATTATTACCGTTGCAACATATCGGTGTCACGTTTGCTACGCAAAAATTAATGGAATATTAAGTTGTGTATAGCTTGAAAAAATCTCTGAGCGGGAATAAGTTGTTTACATGTTCCGTTCACATCCGGATTAAACTTTGTTCTTTCGTCTGTTCTTCCCTCCTCACTTTTTCTGTTTCTCTTAAGTAAATAAATCCAGTTATTATATGTATATATAAAAGGCGAAATAAATAACAAAATTAATAAACAGAATTAATAAACAAGAAAATCAATAATAAGAAAAGAATTACAACACGGGTAAAAATTCGATCAAATGTTAATGTTGTAATACGTGTAAGTAATGGAAATATAGGGAAATTTGCCTATTTCGAAGCACACAGCAACGAACGTGGCAAAGTTCAAGAATCGAAGAAGCGTGTTATGTAACGACAGGTAATATAAGCGCTATAGTATCTTTTGCCTTCGAGATGAAAGGCTGATGGTACTTGATTACTTAGATTTAACGTCGAGCTAAAATCGTCGAGAAAAGATACCATTACCTTTATTGACCATTCAAAATGTGCGCATTTGGCGCCGCCACCTGATGAATGATATGCCGAGAATAATCGGTCACACTATTTCTACAGATATATTACAAAACAGTCATAAGCAAAAACGAAATTGCGCGATCGTAATCATTCGCAAATTGCTATCGTTACACCATTCGTGAATTTATCGTGAAATAATTTTACGGTGCTGAACGTGAACTTGATTCACCGATTACATCACCATTCTCGATGTAATGATTGTTGTAATTGTGCAATAAAATGGGATAGAATAGAAAATAAGAGACCCAAGATGTAGATCAATTACAAATATAGCATCATGTACAATTCATAATTTTTTTACACTAATGCTTTATAATTACATTGCGTTGTGTTTGTGTATTGTGATATGCTTATTTTTAAACTTAATTGCTTATTATATAAACTTATTGTTTATTACATAAACATGCACATTACATAGACATGCACATGTATGTCTTTAAATTAATACTACGTAGAGAGATGTATTTAAATTAATACTACATAGAGAAAATATTACATGCTCCAAATCGCCGATGTATTTACGCAATTCTTGCTTGCGCACATAATTACTTGGAATTAATTCTTCTGAGATATGTTTTTTCTTTTTATAGTTTGTCTTCTGTCGCATATTCTACAGCGAATAAATAATTTATTTATATCACGCGATTGCAACCATTTTCTCCCATTTTCGAGAGGATATACTCTCTAAAAATTTTTTCTTAAATTTCAGGTGTGCGTTATAAGTCGACAGTTCGCAGAGCGAATGTAATCGCAGCCATGGTGGAAAGCGGAAGAAATAACGTGCAGAACGGATTGATCAGTAATGTTAACGGGTGAGTTCCCAACAAAATTGTACACTTTTGTCGCGTTCTCTGCGGTAGCTTCATGAACGTATATTGTGCGCGTAGTTTGGAAGTTTCAAGAAATAAAATTGAGCGATCCCTCGAGCTTCATATCAACAACGCGTTATCGGAACACGAATATCGACGTGTGGGATAACGGGACGGATTTTAAAGAACAGTGTTTATGCGCAAAAGTCTGCACTGCAAATTCGATTGTGTTATTTTAGCTTTTTTTACACATTCCTTCCTTATAAGTCACGTTATTGAATATTTAAACGTATTAAATTATAATTTATATGCCTTAAATGCGTTAAACGACGTAATTTAAAGCTGTGAAAAAAACGCGTAAAAAAGACTTCAGCCAAAATAATACCTTTATACGTTTAAAAATAACACACTTAAACTTGCAGTATGTGTGAAACTCAATTTTGCGAAAAAGCCCGCGCACGCGATGCAATGCACTCTCTTAAAATTTTATATTTAGGTTAAAGCATTGATCATTATTATCGCAGTTGGCAGTTAAATCGGTGTTATCGCAATACTCTTAGACTATGCGCGACCATGCCTTCTTTTGCATTTTCTTTTCACTGAATGACATATTTGCACTTATGACGTCAGACTTGCTCTACATAATTGCTAGTTATTTGTGTATGTAGGAATGTATCCCGACAAATGTCAAGCGATAACCGGATCTTGAGTTTCGAGTTCTTTGAAATCGGTAGATATTTCTCCTTTTTTTCTTTTCTTTATTCAGCAGTAAGTTCGATCACTGAACTAGTTAAGAAACACAAAATGAGATAATCAAGTTATAGCTTATATTATAGAAAGCTTATACTATAGAAACGTAATGAACGATCATTCGTGCAGTTATTAAAGCTTTTTCCTAATGGAAATGGCAATAGAAGATAATTTGTATTAATGTAACATCTTTAAATGTAATTTCGCTAAAGAATTAAATGTCAAGTCAAGAGTGTCGACTAGAAAATAATTTTGAAATATTTGCAGGGTGAAAATCATAAAAATCTGACATTTTGTATCTGACTATTTTGTACTCTTCGAGTTCCCGAGCTAGTCTTGAAATCATAAGCCAATATGCCGCTAATGGCTTATCCAATCAAGTTTAAAATGATGTTCAGATGCAAATTATCCGCGAGATCTATACTTTTCGCCATATATTAAATATGCAGCTATAATGAAACATATTCTCTATCGTATATCCTTTTTTTCATGAGAGTTAAGTTAAGAAAATTAAGTTGATATGTCGGAGTAGTATTTTTATATTCGCGACGTTATAGGTTTAAGAATAGTTACACTGTACAGTTATGACACACTAATCCATTAATTCTGCTGTGCGTTTTAGTTGTAATGTATCACTTTAAAACCTAGATTCTGTCCGATTCTTCCGAGTTGCTTTGATTCATGCTCCGACAATTTCAACGTTTACATCTGTGGGAGCGT